ATGGATGGACAGACAGAGAGTAGGGGGTAGGTCCATGCCGCCCCCCCAGTAAACCCAATCTCTCTCACAGTGATGTGTGATCTCAGACGGGAGGTGTGATCCTAGGAAATAGCTCGTATTTTGGGACTGCTTTTTGGAGCAGATTGATGGGATCTGTTTACAGGCGATCCTATGGCACATGGGGAATTGTGCTCCGGTCTGCCTGGAAGAGGAAACTGTTCTTCTTGAAATCTTAGGTTGTAGAGCAGTGCTTCCCTTTAAAGCGACCAATCCGGAGAGATCCGATTTCAAAAATTCACATGAGAAACCAGACACCAGGAAGGTTTCCAGCCCTGGATGTCTGCTTTGCAGCAGATAATTTAAGCTTCTTTAATGCATGGGTGAACAAAAAGGTGGATCAAGTTCTATTCATAGATCTCAGGGTGATCTGCAGTAGATCGGCAAAAGTTTGTGGCTCCTTGTTGTTTAATAATAGCAAGGAGGAAATGTGCTTTTATATTTTCATGCGAAAATCTCTTCTAAATCAGGCAGCTGAAATTAAAAGTTTAACCAAAAGTCTCTTGGGTAAAGTTAGGAAACGTCAGAGGAACGATATTGCCTGCAGTGGGACAACCAGGAATCTCAAGTGGCGATTTAGTCAGGGACCACAGCAGCTGCTAATGAGGGAATTCCTGCTTGGATTCCTGATTGTGCCGCTGCATACCACGCCATTTCCCCTGCACCGTAAATGCTTACAAGAGGATTTGGGCCGGTGTTTTTGGTTTTCTGCCTCAGTCCATCTCTTGTATCTTGACATCTTCACGAAAAGTGAAGTCCACCTCAGAATCTTGAAAGCTCCCTGCTCTTGCTTTCCCGTAGGAAAGAAGCTTTTACATTTTGGATTGGTGAAGGGAGACATGTTTAGAAAACTGGAGGCTGCTTTGTGGACTAAATTCAGACCGCCGCGCTCGCATGAAAATACAAAACCCCATTTTTGATGAACCCGTGCTGTGGAAATCAAAGTATCCTCGCTCCTCGTGCGGAACTATTTTTCTTTTTTAACACCCTCCCTCTCCCTTGCGCAGCGTCAATCTCTGGGAGATGGCCGAGTTCCTGAAGAAGCAAGACGTTGTCAACGCCATCAACCTGGACGGCGGAGGGTCGGCCACCCTGGTCTTAAACGGAACGCTTGTGAGCTACCCTTCCGATCACTGGTAGGTGCTTTCCCTGTTGGCTGCTCAGCCCTTTCGCACGCCTGTTGTCATGCATTCTATTCTGCCCTAATCTAAGCCATGGGTGGTTTCACTCATTCTTAGGCTTTGCAAAGAAGGTTAATACAGTAGTGAGAACCTATTTCTTCTAAGAGTAACCCGAGTTGGATTTGTAGTCAGTATTCTGACTTATGACGACGCCTTCCAGGGTTTTCCAGGTAGTGCATATTTAGAAGTGCATTACCTTTCTCTTCCACTGGGGGTGCCCTAGGACGACTGTGCAGCTGGCCCAAGGCTACCCAGGCTGGCTCCTCTCCCAGGAAGCCCAATGGGGGGGAAATCGAACTCCCAACTTCTGGCTCTGCAGCCAGACACTGAAACCAGGGAGCTATCTGGCTCTGCAGCCAGAGACTGAAACCACGCAGCTCTCCAGCCAGCTTCCCAAAGGGCGAGCGAGATTGGTTCTCAAGTTGTCGCACCTCTAGGGGGATCTCCTTAGATCTGGCGGCTGCGATCTTCGAGTGCTGTCCCTTTGGTCTCTGTCGCCTTCCTCTTTCATATGAAAAAAGCACACCCGCGGCTGAGCTTCAAAGATAAGGCAGGCGTTCTCATCCCCCTCGCTTTCTCCCTCTCTTCCTTCCTTCCAGTGCCTTTAACGCCATGTGGCGCTGCCCTCGGTCGGTTTCAACCATCCTCTGCGTCCACGAGCCACTCTGCGAACCCCCCGACTGCGGCGGCCACGGGCGGTGTGAGCGCGGGCGGTGCCGTTGCGAGGGGCCTTTCTGGAGAGGAGCAGCCTGCGACGTCTTGGACTGCGGCCCTTCCAACTGCAGCTTGCACGGAATCTGCACGGAAGGTAAGCGGCACGGCCAGTGCGGGTGTGCGTGCCTACGTAGGACTGTCAAAATGGGCAGAGGCCCAAGACCCAGGGAAGCCCATCAGCAAAGCCAGAAGGGGGGGGGGCGCTGGGCTTCCTCCAACAAGCAAAGAGAGTGTCTGTGATGAAATTAGGTTCTTCTGGGCCCTCCATGGCGGGATCGGTGTCCTCCCCTGGATGCTTTCTCTACTTAGCTGGCTCGCCGCCCTAAACGCCTTCGTCGATCTTGTCTGACTTCTGCCCCAAACCACCCCCTGCCCTCCGCTCTCCTGACTGTCCTTCCCGTTTTCTTTCCTCCTCTCTGTTTTTCCCCCCTCCTCCTTCCAGAGGGTTGCGTCTGCGATGCTGGCTGGACGGGGTCCGACTGCAGCGAAGGTAACAGAATCCGCACACCTTCTTCGTGGTAAGAGAGAGGGTGGAAATGTCCATTGTTTGTGCTGAGAAGAGTCCCCTGATGAGGTGCAGGGGGGGCAGGTAGACTCTGGAGGGGCAGCGTCTTCACCGGAAGAGGGTTCGTCAGAAACCCAATGGGGGTTTGTGGGTGTGTGTGATCGCTTCACGGTGCCTTCCTCCTCCCAGTCTGCCCCAACGGGACTTACGGCGACGGATGTGCCCACAGATGCTTGTGTCTCAACGCCGGCCGGTGTGACCCCGTCCACGGATCCTGCGCCTGCCCAGACGGGTACCGGGGCCCCCTCTGTGAGGAAGGTGAGGGGGTTCGACCAGCCATCGCGACACGCAGGTCCTCTGACCGTCTCTTTGCGAAAGCTTTGGCTGAACTATAAGTGTGTGTGGGGGAGTGTCTTTTATAAATTTGATAGCTTCCCCTTCCACCCCATGATTCTGTCACAGGGGAACAGATGTGATTATTCTGTCACAAGGGCCATGGGGTTCTTGGACTACAACTCCCAGAAGCCTTTTCACCCCCCCACCTCAGCTGGCACAAAGATTTCTGGGAGTTGAAGTCCCAAAAACCTCGGGGGACCACTGAGGCAGGGGACGAGGGAGGTCAAGACCCATCCGTCTTGAACGCCTCTTCCATCCCCATCGCGCCGGTCAGTTTTCAGGCTCCCTCCCTGCATAATTTGGCTTTAGAGTTGGGCGCTGGTTTCCATTTCGGTTCAACCGGGCTGGTTTCCATTTCGGTTCGTGACCCGGTGTGGGGATCCCGTTCTGCTTTAGGGCCGAACTTTTTTTCCCTCTCGGCTGCTTGTTTTGCTTCGGCAAAATGGGTTAGGGGTGACTCTGGAGTCGGGGACCTTGGCCGAGTGGTTCTTCGAATGGCCACGAGCCGGATCGTTCTGGCCCTGTGCGGGACCTCCAGCCGTGCCCCCTTGACGTCTCCTCTGCCCGTTGTAACTGGCATCTCCCGTCGCTTTCCCAGCGTGCCCTTTGGGGTGGTACGGACCGGGCTGCCTGCGTGCCTGCCGGTGCCCGAACCAATGCCCTTGCGATCGGAGGACGGGCAGCTGCAACGCGTCTTCTGAATCCCCCCGGATGGTGGAACTCGCCAAAGGTGAGTGAATTGATCTTTTGTTTGGGGGGGGCAGGGGAGCCCGTCCTTTGCAAGAAGAGGGTCTGAATCCCGGTCTGTGGCCCTGCCACTTTCCAAAGGATCTCCGGTAGCAAAACCAGAGGCTCCTGGCTCCAGAGGGGGTTCCACCTCTCAGAATAGCCAGGGCCACCTAGAAAGTGACCAGTCTCGGTCTGTATACCCCATGTGCGGCTCTTCCAGATGATGTCGGACTTCATCTCCCAGAAACCCTGAGAAGCTTAGCCAGGAATGGGGGCACGGTGGAAGCCGCAGGCGAACGTGATCCCGAGGGTGGCATTTTGCCCACCTAACAGAGAGGAAGGTCCTGTATTCTAACACCCACGTCTGACCGATCGGCTAGGACTTAACAACGCTTTGGCAGCATCCGCTCAATGTGGCCTGCAGGTTCTGAGAAAGAGAGACTGGATTCCCTCCGTTAATTTCATGGGATCGGCTTACAATATCCATCACTTATGGATGTACAGTCGGGTCCCCCATATCGTCGGGAGATCAGTTCCAGGTCTGCCCCCACCCCTCCACAGATGCTGAAAAACACAGATTATATTGAACACGATCCATGCCATGCTGTCTCTGTCTAGTGGCCAGTTCTGGGAACATATCTTTAGAAATACGCATTTTGGGGGATTTTTCTTTTGATGTTTTTAGACAGTGGATAAGTAGATCAGCGGATACCACTGATTGGGGGGGGTCCTACCTGGTGTACAAGAACATTTTATGTTTTCTCCATGTGGATATTGCTTGTCGGCTCAGATTTCAGTCTACAGCTGTCTTGGAAATCTGCCTCTCTCTTTGTTTCTCCCAGCTGGGCAGTGTCTCTTGGGAACGGAGCGTGACCAGGAACACTTTCTTGCAGGGTAAGTCACGGGGGGGTTTATGGATTTGACCCCCGCTCCCCCCGGCCTCCCACGTTTCACACATTTCCAGACTGAATGTAGCTCAGGAGCTAAACATTTGGTTTCCATTGTATCTATTGCCACACGCGCAGATGTTTGCTGTTTTGGGCTGCCAAGTCAGAACGGGCTTAGAGCGACCCTAGTAAGACTTTTGAGGAAAGGGAGATATTAAAGGAGTGGTTTTTATCAACTCCACTCCCCCAGTGAGCTTCCACGGCTGAGAGGAGATTCAAACCCAAGTCTTATGAGTTGTAGTCTGTCACTCTGTCCACTAACCACACATAGATGGAAAGGCTGCTACTATTATTTGTGTTACAAATGCTATGTACGGAATCAGCGGATCCTGATCCTGTGGATAAGAGGGTCCTGCCACATTATTTATTTGCTGCTGTTGCTTGTTTTTTCGGCCCAGTGCCGGTCTGTGGCCTGAGCCACAGAGAGAGACCTCCCCCTGCACGCACAACCAGTTTGCGCCTGTGTGCGCCTGCACAAGCACTGTGCTGCCCTTCGCGCATGCACACAAGCGCAGGGGGTGCCCCGCCTTCCCCTGCGCTAAAAAGGTTGAGGACCTTTGATGTGCACTACTATTTTAAGTGACGTGATAATGATTTTGGATGTAACTTAATTACTATTCCAGTGATAGTTGGACCCCCATATTAGCAGGGGGTCAGTTCCAAGGCCCTGCCCCAGATGCTAAAAACTGCAATTATAGCTAATTCGATTTTAATACCAAATGATATACAGTGGTGTCTCGCAAGACGATTTTAATTCATTCCGTGAAAATCGTCGTCTTGTGAAAAAACCGTCTTGTGAGTTTCCCTATGCATCGGTCTCAAAAAAAAAGTCTTGCAAAGCATCGGTCTCAAAAAAAAAAAAAGGTCTTGCGAAGCACGGTCATAGAAAAAGTCTTGTGAGGCACCGTAGTGATCGCTAAAACCAATCGTCTTGCGGGTTTTTCGTCCCGCGAGGCAATTGTCAAGCGAGGCACCACTGTATATACAGTAATGTGGTCTCTGTCTCCCTCTAGTGGCCAGTTCTGGTAACTTTATCGCTAGAAATGTCTACTTCTAGGATTTTTCTTTTAACGTTTTTACTATTTTTAGACCACGGGTAAGGGAATCAGCAGATCCTGATCCTGTGGATAAGGGGGTCCTGCCACATTATTTATTCGCTGCTGTTGCTTGTTTTTTTTCCCCTTCTAGGAAGGTGTGGCTCGGCATAACCTCAGTCCTGTTGTTGCTCAGCGCCGCCCTGAACCTGAAGCACTTTTTCTGCCAGCCCACCGGGCGAGGTGACCGTGGGACATACACCTACCACCCGCTGCAAGAAATGAACGGAGAGCCCGCGCACAGCTGCCCCTCTGCCGCTTGGGAGAAGGAAGAGGAGGGGGGAGATCCCTGAGACCCAACATCTGTAGAAGAGGTTGTCCATTCCTGAGAAGAAGCCAAGGAGAAACCCCAACGGCCTTCAACAGCAAAAAAAAAATCTTCCAAAGACCTCCTTGTTCCTTAAGGTCAAAACCCAGCGGCTGTTTGCACCGCCCTCTCCTTGCTTCAGGTACGTCTTTCTTGCAAGAAAGGGGGCCCGGGTCCTCCTGGGACTGCAGCCCTGCGGTTTTCTATTTAGAACCGTTAACGATTTTGCAAACATCCGGGTGGTTCTCGAGCGTCGTTCCCCCCTCCGTGCTGTGAAAAGGGGAGCCAAGCAGCATCCTGGAGCTGAAACAGGCACCTCCCGAATTTCCAAGGAAGCAATTTTTCCATCCCTTAGTTCTTCTATAAGAGAGGGAGGTTCTGACGGCAATTCAGAAAGTTGATGAGACCAATTCATGGGAGAGAAAGCTACCGAGATGACTCGTCATCCTGTTGCGTCAGGGTCGTGAATTCCACGAGATTTAGGCCCACGGGGATCATCCGGTGAGGCGACGCCTCCATCGGTTCCACTGATTCAAATGAGCCTACGCTACGGGTGACTCGCTCTGCTGAGCAACAGGATTTGGGCCAATCCTGGGGCCGACAGAGGAGTTGGCTCACTGGATCCCCACCGATTCCGCAGGCCCAGCTAAGCAACAGGATTGCAGCCATGGTTTGGCCCAAGGGGAAGCATTTTTCATACAGAACGTATTTCTGCATTTAGCACGTGCTAGACAGAACTGCAAACCTATCTCAGGGACCTTCTCCTAAAATGGCAGTTTAAAACATTAGGTTGGAAAGCTCACACATGTGCACCTTTTTTTATAAAACCATGTTTAGCAACTGACGGGACAGTTTAGCTTGCACTATAGCTGCGCACCAGATCTCTGATGTACAGCTGCACGGAGCTACATTGGGAGCCTCCACTAAGTCTTCTTAATGCAGACCTAATTCTTAAATGTAATTTAGTTTTTTTTAAAAGCAGAGGCCGGTGCGCTGCAGTAGCAAAGGGTGGAACAGGATTATTCAAGATCCTGTACAGCTCTGTGGCTCCCTGAACGATCCCTGGGTCGTGTGGGCCCTTTTTTGGATGTCGCAGAATAATGACCACTGCTTTGGAATACAGTATGTAGTAGAACCGCTGTAGCTACGGGGGATCGGTTCCAAGGGTCTCCGCTGTAGATGCCGAAAAATACAGATGTATTGAAGGCTATACATGGTGTGGTCTCTGCATCACTTCAGAGGCCAGTTTTGAAAAATACATCCCTGGAAATACATTAAATATGTATTTCTGCATTTTTTTTATTTAGTATTTTCAGAGAGCGGATAAATAAATCAGCGGATACCGATCCCGCGGATAGGGAGTCCTGCTGTATAAAGCAAAGGGCTTTGAACTAACTAATGGTTTCCATTTTTTTAGTCATTAGAGGGAAACTATGGTACAGGTGAAGTGGGAAGAGCAGGTGAGAGAGTGGGTCACCTTTTGAGTACCTTATTTTAAAGTCGAATTGCCTGAGCCAGAATATCCAGATCGTTTCTTGTCCTGCACTTTACCTCTTTTCGTACCGATTCTGCTCGAAAGCCACCGGGAGTCCGTGCTGACCTCTGCCACGTGCAGATATTTAAATCTATTTTTATTATCTCCAGAGAGGAATGAAAAACTTGAAAATACTTGGCACTCATAATTTATGTGCAAATACTGTGTTTTATAAAATAAATCGGCACTTTTTAATCTTGTCTCACAATCCCTTCATTGTGAATTAAATAGAAAATGGCCTTTTCTGCCTTGACAGCATAACAGGGGTTGTGTGTGTGTGTGGGGGTGCACACACGCACATGGCATTCACCACCACTTCGTCGTCTTAGAATTTGTGGAAGGGACCCAACGGATCATCCAGTTTGACAGCATAACAGGGGTTGTGTGTGTGTGGGGGGGGGATGTGCACACGCACATGGCATTCACCACCGCTTCGTCGTCTTAGAATTGGTGGAAGGGACCCAACAGATCATCCAGTCCAGCCCCAATCAGAGGGGAATCAAGTTCCCAATCTCTGGCTCCACGGTCGGAGTCCCTCAACCCCTGAGCTATCATCATCTTTAATCACCCCCAACGGGCAGGAGGCAGCTGAAGCCAGACAGCACAAGCAACCAGCAAAAAATGGATTTTTACAGGGACTGGAGCTGCTCTCTCTCTCTCTCTCGTGGCGGCAAAGCAAGGGTTAAAGCAGACATGTCATCGCTACCCAGCCCCACTGCCAACCCCCCCCAAAAAACCAGATCACCTAAGGCTCAGAAAATGAGAAATGCAGATGCTCAAAATATTCATTTATTTGGAATCCTGTTAAAACCTAACATAGATCAGCTTGCTCTCCCTCCTTACCATAAATTATAGGCGTCCTGCAATGTTGTGATGTTGTTCTTATGGGCCAGGTTGAAACGGGAAATACGTACCGGATATTTCAGCACCAGTTTGATAGGTTTTCCTCCCACCAACTTAGTGGAAAACCTCTTTTTTAAAAAAAGCATTAGCAAATTTTGGATATCAAGCAAGGTAGAAACGTCCCGATAATAGTCCTTAAAATGCTCTCCCGCTTAGAAAAGAGAGGCTACTTTAAAAACAGATGTGTACTCGCGCTGCTGACCCAGCTGTCCTCCCTGATCTACTGAGCGTGGCAAGTGTTCCTGGATTGGGGCTTTCGGCCTCCCTTTTGTGATTTCATGTAACTAAGTTGTCAGTGCACACACGAGACGTAACACACGGGAGGAAAAGAGTGAGAACCCCCATCTGGATCAACCGAAACTCAGCGAAGAACGTAACTTAAAAACCAAACTGTAGACCCAGGAAGGATGAATTAGAAAGAAGAAATCCATGTTCATCTTTTTAAAAAATACAAATTAATCTTTTTTTTACATACATGTTCAGATTAAGGAACTCCGCCGAGCTAATACGTAGAAAGGGGAGGATTGTCCTTGATTTTCTACATGGAAAAGTCTCCGGGGAGAGATTTCCTGCCGGCTCCGATGTGGGGGGAATGGTTTTCTCCTAATCTCGCCGAGCCACTGACCTCCGAACTTTGGGCAGTTCTAAAACTGTGACGCCGTTTTGCCTGGCCCAAGGGAGACCCTTGTAATGCAATGTTCCTGATCCACTCCAAGAGGCTGAAGTTCTGGCCCCGGAATCAAGAGGGCCCCACTCGGTTTCGAGCGTTCTGCCACCTGCCCGGGGTAAGTGGCGCAGCCACCGGCGGGCATCACCCCGCCCCCTCGGATCATCTGCTCTGGACCTCCCACACCAGGATCTCATTGTAGGAAGCCGTGAAGAGGCGCTTCCCGGACGGAGTAAACCTCGAGAGCCAAACGCCGTCATCGTGGCCCCGGTAGTCCTGCTCGGTCTTGGCCGTACGGTCAATCAGCCTCAGCACCCGTTCTGCAAGGCAAAGTTACAGCCTAAAGGAAGCGTACCGTTTACAGTAGCAGACCGTATCCACGGTTTCACTTATCCGTAGCCTGAAATTAAAATAGCAAAAGGAAAAAGCCGAGAAATACGTATTTTCACAATGAATTTACCAGAACCGGCCACTAGAGAGAGCCAGAGAACATGGTATGTGTTCTTGCTTTTGAAGAATACATCACATAGTCTCTGGCTCCCTCTAGTGACTATTTCTGGTAAATACATAGTGAAAATACATATTTCTTGATTTGTTCCCCTTTTTACCACATTACATACATCGTCTGCTATTATCTCATGTTTTCAGCATCCACAGGTGGTCTTGGAACCAATCCCCTGCGGATTTGGGGGTTCTGCTATGTTTGTGCTCTCTAATACTGAGATTTTGTTAGACTACTGAAACAACACTCAGTTCCATAATGAAAGCCCAAATCCTAAGAATCTCAGCCATATGTCCTTTCCAGATTTGAGTTTTCTGCCAGGAAAAGTCCATAACGGATCTGTTTGCTTAAACACGCAACTAAGCCAAGCTCTCGCACGAGCCAAGGATAGTGCTGTTCAAAAGATTCAGTACAAAAACGGCTGCTCATGATCAAGTTGCATCCGCATTCCTGGTCAGGCGCCAGTCACGTGGGCTGGCGCACCCAACCAGGAATGCAAACAGCAACTCGTTAATTATCAGCAATTTGCTGCTAACGATCTCTGCAATTACTAATAATCCTCAACAGAGTTCCGGCGAACCTTCGTCGTTCGTTTCTTCTAGTCGGTGTTAAACGAGGAGGAGGAACTTGGAGGACGAAGCGCCTTTGAAAGCTTCTGCCCAGCTTCTGGAGACCTCTTTAGAAAGGTTCCCCTTCAGTTTCACGATCCAGACATCAACCCTCTGTCTGCCTCCCCCCACCCGCCATCTGCATCCTCTGGAAATGATTTTGAGCTTCTGGCTCTTGTGGGTGGGAAGCGATGCTGCGCACCGTCTGTAACCATGGGACTCTCCTGCAAACTCCTCTTGGGACCGGAGCGCCAGGTATCCCAACGGCCCAACAAGACGGCTTGGAACACCAACCTCTTCCAAATAAGTGAAAGCACAACAGCTAGTCTCCTCCCGTCTGCAGGACTGCCTTTCTACGAGGGGCTTCTCAGACCTCTCTATCACGCACCCTGCAGAAAGGAGGAACGTTTGAGCCCTCCAAAGACCCACCGTTGAAGCCGACGGCAATCATGGCGGCCGCAGGAGACAAGCTGAGCGACGTGGCAAAATAAGGCAGGGGGATCCTCTCAGTAACCTGCACGCAGCAAGGAAAAGCCCCCAAATGTTAGAATCTTTAAGCTTTCAAATTGATATAATAATAATAAAAAACTGCAGAGTTGGAAGGGACCCTCTGCGGTCATCCAGTCCAGCCCCAGTCAAGGAGGCCCCAGTGGGGGGATTTGAACACCCAACCTCTGGCTCTAAACCCCTGAGTTATCCAGCAGTTATGCCGGCATCGACCCTCTCAGGCCGAGCCCTGTGAGGTAGAGAGAGCCTTCGGGTTCCTCCCCAGGGCCTTCAGTCTGTAACAATCACAGTCCAGCGAGATCCATCACAACTCGTGTTTGTTCTAGATCTGTGCCAAGGCTTCGACTGGATGTACACAAAGGCACCGAAATAAGCCCACAGCTTAAGTGCTGCAACACACACACACACAGCTAAGCTCTCAGGCACCTGTTTCAGCCGCAAGCTGTACAGAAGGATCTCCTTTTGCAATCCGAAGCCAACGTAGGCGACCGTTGTGGGGTCCCAGGGGCAAAACGCTGCTAGGCTGGGAGGCAAAGGGTTCGGCACCTGTAACGGAAATGTGAAATATTGAAATGTTGCCTTTTAATGATATAAGACACCTTGGGTCCTTTTTAAAGGAGAAAAGCAGGGTAGAAGTATTTTAAATGAATTGATGCTTGCATGCTTGAATGAATGAATGAATGAATGAATGAATGGGACCGTTACAAGCAGATGTACGCCTCCCTGATTCCAAGATTGCAAATCCGGTGAACTAGAATCTGACTGTCTACGTCTGAATAATTTTCTCTGTTTTTACGCAGTAAGTGTGGTTTTCCCTTCTCAAGAATTGGTAGCCTCCTCCAATTTCTGATCATTTCGTCTCTCTAACAGACAAAGCACTTCTACATTTAAACAAAACCCAGCAACAATAACTACAAATAATTGCAACAATAATTACAAACAGCTGCCTAGAATTTTGTCCTCCAAAGTAAAATGACTCGCATCGAGTCTTGTCCACACTGGCATAGAGTTATGGTCTATCGTTCCCTGATAGAAGAACCGAAGTATTCTGTTTATGTACTTCTCCATAGCGCTTAAAGCTCTCAGGAAGATAAGTTTTACAGGCAAGGTTTCAGAACCCACAACACACTTGGACCGCTTAGCTCACAGATGGGAAAACTGAGCAAAATCGTCTCACTTCGGGGCCGGTCGGCGCTGGAAAGCTCAGCCAATCGATGAGCTCGCATTTGTCCTTCATCCAATCAGAGACCCAGACGCTGACGCGCCGATCGGCACTCGCGGCCAGCCACAGATCGCCGCCTTCAATCCCCAGCAGGTCGGTGTGCTAGAGGACATGACACTCGCATGACAACTGCACTTGATTTTAAACATTCCCCACCCATCCAAGAACATTGGCACAGTACCGGCTGAACTACAGTACAAGAGATAAGAAAGGGACTCAATAGAGATAAAGGGTTTATTCACATCTAAAAGATCACACCCCTTTACCTCCAACTGCACAGGGAAGATAAATGCAAGATGCAAAGGATTGTTTCCATATAAAGAAAAGTTTTATCAATATCCATTTTGGAACCTAGATGTCTAGGGTGAAAGGGTCGTGTTCGTTTGCTCCTTGTATAATGAGACCTTTTGCACAGAGGGGCCCTAACGTTATGAGTTCACAGGGAGAAAGAAGCACGGGGGAGAAGATACCAAAAATGTCCCATAGAAGGTGTGAAAGAAGCAGCTCTCGCCTTATGCTAACCGAGAGATATGGGCTAGGAAAAATGTCCCCAGGCAAGAATCCCTGACCATTCAAACTACCGGTCAAGCGCAGGAAGGAATGGCCTCCAACCGAGAAGGGATGGTGCGAGGAGGAGAAAGAAGCCAACCGGGAGTCAGTCTCACCTCGTGCTTGGAAGCAACTTGTTATACACAATATTGCCAAAGGCAATTTAACGTATTGAAGTATGGCCTTTCATGTTTAACAAAAGATTTAAAGTGACTTAAAACATGGAATTCGATACAGCAGAAACCTGGTATCTGCAGAATCGATATCTGCTGATTCACTAACAAAAGATTTAAAGTGACTTAAAACAGCAGAAGCCTTGTATCTGTGGGGATCAATATCTGCCGATTCGCTTATCCACCCTCTGAAAATATTAAAAGAAAAATCCCAGAAATATCTATTTCTAAAGATGAAGTTACATGAGCAGGCCAACAGGGGGAGCCAGAGACTATGCGATGCATAGTGTTCACTAGTAAAATATATTTCTATGAGGTTGTTACCAGAACTGGCCACTAGACGGAGCCAGAGACCAGGCTCTGAAGAGCGTTCACTAGCAAAATAGTGTTCACTATTATCTTCCTTTTTCAGTATCCACGGGGGGATTTGGAAGCAATCCCCCGCGGATAGGAGGATCCGACTGTACTAATAAAATGGCCTCCAGTACCATTTATTTCTCTATCTTACATCCAAGGGGATGCTGCTCCAATGGCAGACAAGGTCCTCTCTCACCTGTTTTCTTATGCAGTGGATGACGTTGATGGGGGACGACCGGTGGTCGGTTAGCACGCGGACGGTCATTCCTGTACGAGGGCTGCTCACCGCCATGAGCCCGTCTTTCCCTCCAGACAGGATGATCTCTCCTAGAAAGAGAGAGAGAGAGAGACAAGGGGAGCGTGAGGAGTCTCGCTCTCCAACTGATGGCCCTCAAGGGTTTCCTTGAAAAAAATGCCAAACTTGGGGTAGAAAATCCCACATCTCAAAACAGGGCAGAGAAGGGGCTTCATTCACAAAATTCAATCATGGCAAGGAATGCAGATCTCAGATGTTTCTCTGGAGAGTCGGCGGAGGCTTTCCGCTTGGGGGCGGCCACGGCTTCCGGGCGTGGATTTCATCAACAGGAGGCGTGAGAAGCCAACGTTGTTTGGAAGGCACCCTTAGGATGGGCCCGGCCCAAAGACCTCTCCCATCCAGGATTGAGCGCCCCCCCGCCCCGTATTTCAGGCTGCGGATCTACTACATCAGCGGCCGACACGTTCGAAGGGGCCGAGGAGGGACCCCCTCGAGGCCAAATGCAGGTGGAATACACCCCCTTCCAGGCACAAAAGCCCCAGGGGCGGGAATCAAAACAGGAAGTACCTGGACCTCAACCTCCAGTTTCATTTTTTTGGGGGGGAGGCAGGAGGGCCCCCCCAAAAATGGAGCATGACCATGTTTACCTCCTCCCACGCCAAGGATGGTCGGGTAGACCAGATTCCCAGAAAATGCCTCTGCAGGTTGCAAACCGCCCTTGATCACCTCGACCAACATCTTAGGCAACCAGCATCCTCAGGCCTCCAGACGCGATGGGCTACAATTCCCAACATCCTAGCAGCCTCACTTGAACGGAGGGCCTCAGGGTGGTGGGGAAGACTGTACTTGGTACGGCCCAGAACCCCGTCCCTTCAAAGGCCAGTCCTTCCAAGTCGGATTTTTTTTGGGGGGGGGTCTCCTATGTGTCGGGGCAGAGGCTGGAGGAAGGGGAGGGGCAGCAAGACACAGCAGCACCTTGACTGAAGGGCTGCTCGCTGTTTCTGATCATTGGCTTAATTGCGTTCGAAATAGGATGATAATGCTGTGCTTCCAGCTGTATCTGCTTTTTGTGTTTCGAACAGCACGGAGTGCAAATCGGGGAGAAAGGCATGGAAGGAATAACGCAAGCAAGCAAAAAAAGAGGCCAAAATTGGTAGCAGACCAGTGGAAGCAAAGCAAGCGGATTATATTATATACCGTCTCAAAGGGCTTAAGGCACTGTCTTGGCGGTTTACAACTTAAATATGCAGGCTACACAATGCTGTCCTGCCCCCCAGCAAGCTGGGTACTCATTTTGCTGACATCAAGGATGGAAGGCTGTCAACCTCCAGCCTTCCCCCTCGAGTCCTTTGCGGTCAAACCCAGATCACGAGCAGAGTCTTGACTGCAGTCCTGCCGTTGAGCCCTCGCACGGCGAGGCACTCGCGACCCTACCGTCGGCCGAGTATCCGAGCGCAGTCACGGCGACGGAGTGGGGGTGCATCTTCAACTCCATCTCCGTCCGGGACAGGCTGAACACCCGGATGGTGCCGTCACTGTAGCCGGCCACGATGTGCTGGCTTTCTGCCCCGTCGGCGGACGGGGATACCGGGCTCCAGGCCAGACACAGGCAACTCTTAAAAGAGAGAGAAGGGTCAATGCGTCAGGAAGGCCGTGCAGCAAAAAGCAGAGAAAGAACCCAGGAGTGAGTCCCCCCCCTCCTTGTCACGGACCCCCAGGCACGAGAGTGCGTCGCCTTGCAAGGATTAAAAGCTGCCACTGCTGCTAGAAGCTAAGCTGCCCCATCTCTGCAGGTTAGGAAGCGACCTATGGGTCAACGTAGGGGTACCCATGTGCGAGTATTACACCTGGAGCCCCAGCTTTCTAAGTACAGCAGGACCCTTCTATCCATGGGAATCACTATCCGCTGATCCATTTATCCATAGTCTGAAAATATTAAAATATTCTTTTTAATCCTAGAAAAATGTATTTCTAAAAAGGTGACATTACCAGAACTGGCCAGAGAAGATGCTATGCATAGTGTTGGCTATTGTAAAAGTGCTTGCTATAATCTGAGTTTTCCAGCATCCTCAGGAGGGCTTCAAACCAATCTCCCGTGGATACAGGGGTCATCCTGCACACACACACCCCATATATTTCAGCCCTTGCAAATTCCAAGCAAAACGTGTCTTCCCCTGGCAGGATGACCAGCTGATTTCTGAAATTACCTGGTTGAGGACCTGAAACTGCACCACCAGCTCCATGCTGGCCAGCGCCCAGACCCTCACGCTGCCGTCTTCACCGCAGGTAGCACAGTGAGACTCTTGGGGACTGAACGCCACCTCGTTCACCTGCACTAACGGAGAAAGACTTCAGCAAACCCTAAGAAGACATTCCCGTTTGTCCCGATAGGCTCCTAATTTTTTAAAAAGCACCGCTTTCTAAACCTAGCTCCGTTGGGAGCCAGTTCCACAAAATCGGGGCCAAGACGGTCCTGCCTCTTGTGTCCACCTATATAGCAGGGCAGAACAAGGAAAAGAGAGTTGGAAGATGCGGGTCAAACGTCAAGCCAAAGAACATTTAGTTCAATGGGACTTGGAGTTCAACAAACCCCCCCCGAGGGCCATGAACAAGTGCTCTAGAACCAACAAGAGCCCCTCTCTGCTCTAGAACAAGCCCTTTCTGCTTCCGCGCCAACTTTTAAGGAGACCTTGTTCTTGTGTCCGCTGATCAGCCGGATGCTGGTGTTGTCCGTCCAGTTGATGTACCACAACGTCCCGGCGGTGGTGCCGACGATGCCCATGTCGGCCGAGTCCTCGAAGGCGGCGCTGACGACGGTCCCGTCCAGGGTCATCTCTTGTTCCAAAAGGACGGAGCCGGATCTAGAGGAGAGAGACGTTTAGGGAGGGTAAAGGATGCGGGACTCCGGTGGACCCAGAAAAACGGAGTCTGAGGCCAACTGGGAAGGGCGCGGGAGGGGAACGCCGGCCAGCCAGGACTCGGTCCAAGGGCACAGAAATGGAGAGGCAGAAATGGAATGCCTGGGGCCAGGGGGTGAGCGCTCTGACCAAGGGGCCCCGAGGACCGCCGTTTTTGGGCAGGCCAGTCAGCCCCAGCTAGGCACCGCCGTCTGTTTCAGTGGGAAAAGAACTTCCTTGAAAACCCCAGGGTTGAAGAGAAGGGCAGAAAAAGCTGCCGAGGGAGGATACGGACCCCTCGTTAAAGGGTGTCCACTGGGACTGGGGGGGGCATCTATGAACGTGTTTACATGGACGCCAGACCACAGATGCCACAAAAGGACAGAACTCCTTTGGAGGGTGAAGGCGGTTTTACTCCCAAATCCCCTTGGCCCTCTTTTTAATACAATGGGACCCCCTATCCGCAGGATCGCTATCTGCTGATTTGCTTGTCCATTGGTTGAAAATACTAAATAAAAACCCCCAGAAAAACCTGTTTATATGTATTTTCAGGGTGTATCCACCAGACCTGGCCGAGAGAGGAAGCCAGAGGCCACGCCATGTACAGCAGGGTCCCCAACCCCCAGTCCATGGCGGGAGACCTGCCGCCCCCCTGCACGCACTCCCCCCCCCACGCACGGCCTGCCCACACGCACGGGTACCCCAACCAACCACGAGCGCACCATGCTGATCTTCATGCACCTAGTGTGCCATGTTAATCCACGCATGTGCGAGCATGCGCCATGCCCCCCCGTGAGCATGGGGTGTGCCCCACCTCCCCCTGCGCACAGACCCCACCCCACTAACTAGTCTGCGGTTCAGAACAGGTTGGGGACCCCTGATGTATAGCATTTCGGTGTTTTTCAGCATTCACCAGGGATTGGGGGGGGGCTGTCGCTCGGTACCGATCCCCTGCAGGTGCTACAGTCCTACTGTATATATTTAGAGGCACTAAATTTAACCCCTTCTTCAATCCCACCCTCGGTTCAAAGGACCGACATATAAAATGGGAATGTTGTGTGTCGCTTGCCATATGAACGAGAAGGCTTTTTGTGACCGAGCTTCTGGGGATCCTCCTCGTTTTCCCAATGAGATTTTTAAAAAAAACACCCGTTACCTGGCGCCAGAACCTTTCACCCTCAGCTCCTGAACAGCCCCCACGGACCAAAGCTGGATCTTTCTGGTGTTGCTGCCACTGATGAGTCGGTTCCCGTGACACTGCAGGACACCTAGGCAAGGCGAACGATTTTTGTCCCCGGTGAACAGATGGACACACACACACCCATTAGAACTGCTGGAGAGCTCAGCGGTTTAAGGTCTCCGGCTGCAGAGCCAGAAGTTGGGAGCTCGATTCCCCCCACTGTGCTTCCTTGACCGGGGCTGGACTTGATCTACAGGGCCCTTTCCAGCTCTGCAGTTCTAAGATGATGGTGGTAATAATTAAGGAGAAGATTTTTATGACATGTCACATTTTCTCCTGCAACCTACATTTGAACCCATAAGCGAGTTCAAACTCAAACATAGGTTGCCGGAAAAAACATGACATGTCATAGAAACCCTCCCCCTAATTATTATTGTTATACCACAGACTTATCAAAGACTTCAAAGTCCTCTAGTGGCAAGGCCCAGAACCCCACCCTGTGGGAGACTCATGCATGCATCAGTTAAACTGCCTATCTCATCACAGTGAATTGCTGCTAACTAATGAGGCGCTGGTCACATGACTAGGTCGGTCTCTGTTGCACAATAACTGGCAGCAATTCGCATGGATAATCTCTACACCATCTATGTTACAGGTAAGTCAAACCACCCACAGGAATCCTGGCTATTCTTTCCGTCACAGAGAAAGCCCTTCTGAGGGTCTCCAAACTCCTCTCTCGATCCGCGTCCTTCTCTGAAAACTCACCAATTTCTCCCTCGGCAGCTTCCCAAGTCATGAAGCACCGACTGGTCTCCGTGTCCCAGACGCATATCTGTCCCGCGCTGGTCCCTGCGTACAGAAGGCAGGCAGCCCCGTAGCAGAGCGACGTGAGCTCCACCGGACCCACGGTGTCCGGGACGGGGACTTTGTGAACCTGAAACCAGGCCAAAAAGAGAGAGAGAGAGAGAGAGAGAGAGAGAGAGAGAGGGTCATGTCTCCACCAGCGTCGAAAAACATATTACTTTTTGGCCTTCAAAGCGTGACTTCTGAGCAACGTCCAGAATCCGACCGTCAGCACGGACCTCAGCTCCCCCAAACGAGGAGCTGGCCTGGCGACGGTGGTGGAGAGCAAGGGTGGGAGCCTGAATGGAAGATGGAGGAGATGATGGCAGGGGATTCCAAGCCAGCGGCCGAGAAGCGTACCTTGAGGCTGAGGTCCGCACTCTGCTGGTCCAGGAGCCAGAAGGTCACCGTCCCCCTCCCGACGCAGGCCAGGCGTCCCGCGGAGAGGGGGCTGAAGGCGACGGCGTGGACGGGCTCGGAGAAACGCGTGGAGGACATCAGCTCGTACGTCTGGGTGTTCCACAGAGAAAGGTCCCTGTCGAGATAGTCCCCTGGAACCACCAAGGAAGCAGCCTCGAGTTTAAAAATGTTTAATAACATGCACACTTCAAACGTCATCGCTGTGCTCTTCCCAAAATAGTTTAGAGCGGCATCAAAACGTGTATTTCAGTAACAAAAATCAAGAAGCTATTCAGTATAGTAAGACCCCAGTATCTGTGGAGGGTCCGTTTCAAGCCGCCTCCGCCTCCCAGCAGATGCTGAAAACCGTGGATAATTGTGAACACGGTTATAATAGCAAACACAAAGATGCTGAAAACCGTGGATAACAGTGAACACAGTTATAATAGCAAACACAAAACATAGCACAGTCTCTGGTTCCCTCTAGTGGCCCATGCTGGTAATTCTATCTCTAGAAACGTATATTGCCTGGAAATTTTTTTATATTTTTTGACCGTGGATAAGCGAATCAGTGGATACAGGGGTCTATTTTTAGACCGTGGATAAGTAAATCAGCGGATACAGGGGGTCCCACTGTGGTTATATTTAATACTCCTGCAAGCAAACACGCTGTCCAAGCACGACCGGAGACACCCACCTAGCGTCACCAGGAGACGGTCGTCTCGAGAATAGGCCATGGCTTGCACCTGGGTCTCGTGATGGAAGAGAACTTTCTGGCAGTCTCCGTTCTGGGTGTTCCAGATGCGAATCTGGCAGCGCGAGTCTCCACACCCTTGGCCAGAGGCCGAGGCCAGGACCTGGAAGAGCATTTTTGCGGTCACCATTCAGGAATAAGAAACCCCGTCCCTTTCAAAAGTGTGGGGAAGGGTGTTTTCCCCAAGCTTCGAGGGGCACAGCACACCTGAACCCCCTCCAGCCCAACTACCGTATTTTGCCATGTATAAGACGCCCCCCCCTTTTCGAATTCAAAATTAAGAAATCTAAGTGGGACTTAGCAAGTGGACGGGGAAAGGGATCGAAGCGCTGCAGGATCGCTTTGATCCCTGCTTCCCCCTCCACTTGTTTTTGTTCTCTCCTCAGATTACCTCCGTGTATAAGACGACCCTCAATTTTTAGTCTAAAGATTTTAGACAAAAGTATAGTCTTATATATGGAAAAACACTGTATTTTTAGAAACAAAAGCAAGCTTTAAAAACCCACAACCGACCATGTTCCGATTTTAGAAGAACCCTGTTAGAGAACTGCCGGATAGCTCAGTGGCTTAAGGTCTCCGGCTGCGGAGACAAAAGGTTGGGAGTTCGATTCCCCCACGGGGCCTCCTTGATCAGAGGGCTGGACCGGATGATCCCACAGGGTCCCATCCAGATCTGCTGTTCTAAGATGAAGATGGTGATGGCCTTCTAGGGACCCAACGGCTCGGACTGCATCATCGGCCAAGGGAAACGGAGAAGGTCCGTACCTGGACGTCATGACTCACAGCCAACGTCGAAATCTCTTCCGGGTGGCCAAGCCAATGCTGTTGAACTCCGGAATGGAGGTCTTCCACGATGACCAGGCAGCCGCAGGTGTAGGCAAAGAAACCTGGGAGGGAAGGAGTTAACTCATTCAGTCTCTAGAATTCTTCCTTCGACAGGCAGGCCAAAGAAACCACAAAAGGGAGTGGGTTGTAAATAGAAACTCATCTAAGTACAGCAGGATTCCCCTTATCCACAGGATCAGGATCGGCTGATCCACAGCCTAAAAAGATTAAAAGAAAAATCCTAGAAAATAGATGTATTTTTAAATATGAAGTTACCAGATCTGGCCACTCGGGGGAGCCAGAGACCAAGTTATATATATAAAACATTCGCTACTAAAATAGCGTTTGCTATCATCTGCGGTTTGTAGCATCCGCGGGGAGGTTTGGAACGGATCCCGCACAGATACAGGGGGCCGTCTGCCTTGCAGGCGCCTGCCTAAATTTAATATCCGACAATATAACCCTGCTCTCATCCTTCACCGAGCGAGAGCACCCAACAGGAAAGACAGCTGATCGCCTTCCACTAGCCAGGATTCAAATTGAGAGTTTTGGAATGGAAGGTCAGCAGGATCCAAAACGCTATTTCACAAGGAGAGCCCATACCTGTGTCTGGATTCCAGACCATATTTCCGCGGCCGTTTCCATTATATCCGATCACAGTTTTCAGTTTCAAACCTTCGTTCCCGGATAGAGGAGAGGAGAATGTCTGAAAGACAAGCGTCCACGGTTTCAGTACAAACGGGGAAGGGTTGCCGAGGAGATAACAGATTGTCTCCGAACACCGCAAGAAACCTTATCCGTATGCAAAAAAAGGAGTCCTTTTTGTAAACAGTCGGACCCCTGTATCTGTTGGAATTTGGTTTGAAGCCCTCCTGCGGATGCTGAAAACCGTGGATTACAGCGAACATGATACACGGCAGTCTACGGCTCCCTCTAGCGGGCACGAAATGCCAGTTCAGCAGTTCGTTCTGGTTCATACTTTGGCCGAACAGGTGTTCGGAGCTTCCTGCCCCACCTCCTCCGGGCACTGCCTGCTGGAGGAGGCAGGGCTCGGAAGGGCCAAACACCCATTTGGCCGCGAAACGAACCAGCACGAAACGGTTCGTGCCCATCTCTGCACAGGAGCTAAAGCATCTATGCATCCATACCCACGTCCCCTTCCAATGTTGCTTTTTGATCATATGTTTGCATAACCACGCCACAAGCCAACAGACGCGGGAAGCTGAGATTTTCAGACATGCACCCCAACACCAGGCCAGGGGCCGCATCTCGCACCCGGCTCCTTTACGTGTCCTCCAACCAGTTCTTACCTTAGGACGCGGAGAAGTTTTGAAGCGAGGAGAAAAGTGGCGGTAGCAGTCTGGGCGGACGTGGGTTTGGGATCCCGAACCATGGGCTTCCTTTTTGCATTCTAGTGCGCAAGAAGAGGACAGAACAGTTTGACACTGCTTCCCGCTCTCCACCGCCGGCGTTCTTCCAAAGTGGAATTCCCTGCCTGCGAGGCGATGTACGAGGAGGGAAGGGAGACGGAGCCTGGGAAGGATTCGAATGCCGCTCCTCCACACAGGCAGAAAACATTCCCCGGCGGCCGATCCATTTCCGGGCTGAATTTCAAGGTTCTAACCTATAAAGGCTTAAAACGGCCTGGGCCAAAGCGATCTCAAGGACCATGTCTCCCCCGATGAGCCTGCTTGAGTGTCAGAAGTCAAATACAAATGCCACAAGGTCCTTGCCTAAGGTACAAAATATATTTTCGCACCCCAAGTGGCAAATTACCCACAACAGAGAATGAATTGATACTTCTTCTCTATTATTCGGTGAAACGTTATCTCTAACTGTAATTTTTTTTTAAAAAAATTTACAGTTGCACTGCAAAAGGAGTGAAATTACCCCCATTTAAACTTACCAGTGTATGGTAAATTGGATACACCGCCATTAGTGGAGAGGGAGTGGAATTAATTACAATTAATTTTGTAATAATTGTAACATTATCTCTACAAACTAGTTAAATTATGTGTTTATTTATTTACATGCACAACCTTCTTAGATTAAAAAAAAATCGATATTTCAGAATTTGTGATTCATTAACTAAAAGCTCTGTATTTACATCAAAGTCAGTTCCATTTAATGCAGTGGGGCCTTTTGACAGGTGTCACGTTGTGCTCTGAGCTACCATACATTTGCAAAAGGTTTGCACTCTGTATACGATGGATGCCTACATCACTGCAAAAGCACCACACTGGAAGAAGCATACATGGCAGGATCACTTTTCCAAGATAGTAGGTCCTATCTGCAGTTTCTATATCGACTGATATAAAAATGATTGAAATGCTGAAGTTTTGTTTCTGATTGCAAGCAGCTTTTCAATCAACCAAAAAATGTTTCGGGCTTTTAATCCAAACAGATTTGTTGGTTGGTTGGGTTGGGTTGGGTTGGGTTGGGTTGGGTTGGGTTGGTTGAATCTTTAAACATACAACAAAGCTGGTGTGTAAGCCGACGAAAAACAGCCTGAGCAAGGCTACCTCGGGCAAGCGGTCGGTCACACACAGGCTCACACAGAAACTGACGCATGGACGCGGCTGCGCCGATTGTCCAAGGTGAACCTTTCAAGCTTGTTTAGAAGCGGAGGATCTTACCTAGCATAAGGTTCCTGCCTCACTCACATCTCACATGGAGGCTTTGCTCCCATTGATAAAACCAAAGGCCATTCCTTGCATCTCCTATCTGAAATTGTGCCATTAAGGAGGGGAAAATAGATAAAACCGATCTACCCCCACCTGCATGGCCGCGTGGCTGAAGGCAAGGCCGGGCCCTGGCAGGCTTCGCAACCGGTGGCTCTTCGGCTGTTTGCTTCAGAGCCCGAATGGGTTCCTTGCCGTTAACAACTTCGTGGCTGCTGCTGCTTTTCGGGCCGGCCCTCTTCTCTTCCTGTTCCGATTCTGAAGAAAGATCTGAAAGAAGGGAAGAGGAAGGAGAGCGATCAAAAGGGAACGCTTTGCCCGGAGCAACAATAAAACGGAACAGATTTTGTCTTGTTCAGAGACTCCAAATTCAAAAGAATATTTCGTAATTTATTAGTTTAATTTAAGGACCTTTGAAAGACACACCAAGAAGCCACACTAGGCTAGAAAGGAAAAAAAAAACTCTTCTGATTTCAGATCCAGGGGGGTCACACTGCATGTGTAGCTACACAACAGGGTTTGGCCTGTCAGGTAGCATCCGGTTTCTGTTGTTTCCCATCCAAATTAAACTTACTAGCAGGCTCTCCACACTTCAGTTAAGCTCATAAAGGAATTTGAACAGGGATAAAAAGGTGAATTTTAATGGGTTTTTAAACGGCCACCCCGGGATGATTTATTCCGTTCCAACCCTCCCGCTGTCACTCACCCTCGTCCGCCAATCGATGAATAGAACTGACATCCAGACAGGGTGGGGACACGGCCATCGGCAGAGGGACCAGCTGGCGGGGGACATCGCTGGCCCCGGGGGTCAAACCCTCTGTCTTTTCCAGATCAGCTTCCGTGAGCAGAGAAGAGACAAGAAAGGAGACAGAAAGTCAAAGCGAGTTAGTGGTTAAGAAAGCTGGACCGAGATCCAGGAAATTAAGGTAGAAAATTCCCCAATCAATCCTGATTGCTACAGAAGGGATGTTTTGGCTCGCTAAGCTTCGCACATGTATAAAAAGGAGAAACTCACCAGCACTGGGAGAATTCAAGGACTCAAAAGAGAGGATCCTGGAATGATTAAAAGTCCAGAGTTAAAATGATGCATAGAAGAGATTTACACAGCAGAAAGAAACACTCTGGGTAGTTTACAATTCAATGACACAGGCTACACACTGCCACCCACCCACTAAGCGAGCTGGGTATGCAGTTTACCGACCTCAGAAGGATGGAAGGTTGAGTGAACCTCGAGACGGCTACCTGCGATTGAACCCGGCTCGTGAGCAGAGTTTTGGCTGCAGGACTGCAGTTGAACCACTGCGCCACGAGGCTCCCCAACAGACACGAAGTGCCCAAGCAGACCGCTTTAGTGCAGAAAGGATGGGCCCTTACTCAGATGTGGACGAGTCCTCTGCGTGCACACCTAGGAAGTCCCACAGAAAGATGGCGTCTCCGACACTGACGACTTGTCTTTGGTCCGGAGTGAACCTCACCTGCCGGATGGGCTCGGAATGGCCGATAAACACCTGGGAGGAAAGAAGAGCAGAATTGGGGGAAGGGGGCTGCTTTTTCCTGTGTTGGTCCCGCTCCACCCCTCGGAACGATCCTTCCCGCAGCTCCGACAGGTGGTGTGAAAAGGGCATTTACACAGAAGCCCCCCAAAGTCACAGAATCCCAGAATCATAATGGAGTTGGAAGGGGCCTCTAAAGGCCATCAAGTCCAACCCCAAGCAGATTGCACAGAGGGTGGGCCAATTTCCTCTTGAAGGCCTCCAGCATTGGAGCATTCACTACCGCTTGAGGCCATTGGTTCAGTTGTTGTACTGCTCTAACAGTTAAGTTTTTCCTGATATTCAGCCGAAATCTGGCTCCCTGTCGCTTGAGCCCATTGTTGTGTGTCCTGAACTCTGGGATGATTGAGAACAGATCTTGCCCCTTCCTCTGTAGGACTCCCTTTCAAGCATCTGAAAAGTGCTATCCTGTCTCCCCTCCATCTTCTTGCCCATTTCCTTCAGCTTTTCCTATTAGGGCTTGGTTTCCAGCCCCCTGACATCCTCGTTGCTCTCCTCTGAATAGTTTGTTGGCCTCTTTCTTCAAGAGCGGTGTCCAGAACTGGACACAAGACTCCAGATGAGGCCTCACCAGTGCCGAATAGAGCGGGACTAGCAGCTCGTGAGATTTAGAAACTATACTTCAGTTAATCCATCCTAAAATTGCATTGGCCTTTTTTGCAGCTACATCACACGGTTGGCTCACATTCAGCTTTTTGATCTAGAGTTCCAGCAAGGGCCACGTTCTGTAGTCATAACAAATAAGCAGCAAAGGGGGGCAGAAAGGAAGCTTCTTACTCACAATCAACCAACTATGCATATCTACAAAAATGAACTTGTCTACTAGCTTCAAAATCTTCCTGAAAACAACCATCTTATTTGTTCCGTTGGTTATTTTGCTACAGATGTTTTTCATTGGTTTTTGTGGTTCACACGGCTTAGATTTGCCTGCGGAGCGCACGCCTCGTGTCTTTTCCCCTAAACTCAGGGCGGAAAGGAAAGCTCACCCCTTTGGTCTGGCAAGCTGCGCACGGCGGGCCCCATTCTCGCACGGGGAGCCCGCTGATCCGGGAGAGGGTGCTCAAGACATATCTCTTCCGCTGCACATTTAGGGAGTTGGGTACAAACCCATCGAACTGCCAGAATCCCATCAGCGAAACACGCCAGTGTGAATGCTACGGGAGGGGGGGGTACCGTGCCCCTTAAATTCTTGCATGTTCAGAAGTTCGCCTAGGCACCCGCTCTCCCAAACAAGCTGCACGGCTCAACACATAACAGAAAACGCCTTCTTTCACCCATACCCACGGCCACAAGTCACAGCAAAGCAGAAGCCAATGCAAGTTACAAAAAACTGTGTTTTAGAAAATTTGCTCCATCGAATATCACGCCATTTGCTTCCAAGGAAACACGCGCAGAACTGTGCCGCAGGTGGACTAGCCCCCGAAAAACTTTACTTGCAGATTCTGTAACATCTGTGGCAACTACCAAGTTGGCTGGTATTGTTTTTAAAATAATATTTTAAAACCATACTGCTTATGGGCAGTAGAAGAGAAAGTAGTTTAAGGACTGAACCAGATGCCACTGTAAGAAAGGGCGATTCCTTTCGTGCCAAAAGCTATTTGGATGTACAGCAGGACCACTTTATCCGTGGGACTCAGTATCCACTGATTCACTTATCCACGGTCTTAAAATATGAAAAGAAAAATTGCCAAAATATGTATTTTTAACAATGGAGTTACCAGCACTCAACCTGAGAGGAAGCCAGAGACCGCACTATGTACAGTATTTGCTATTACAATAAAGTTCACTACTATCCGTGTTTTCCAGCATCCACGGGGGCAGGGCTTGGAACCAATCCCCCTGCAGATACAGGGGTCCTACGGTAATCAGTGTTTAATCACCCATAGCTCGATAACAAGCTTGCTTTGCTTTTGTGATGTGCCAACGGAATTTGCAAACTTGGTTTGCCCTGTTTTGACTACAACACCCTATAAGATGATTGCTCTGGTTTCCTGGTTGCGTACATTTACCTGGGCGTTGACGTCAAATCTCATCCCATAATCCCACACCTTGATAGCCCGATCGCCAGCCGTCAGGAGATACCGAGCATCGGGGCTAAAGGCCAACGAAGAACAGGATTGTTTGTGCACCTGCGAAACCTGCCACGGACAGAAACCAATTTTGGAAGACGCTGATTTTTTCATCAAAAAGCATGCACTATTTTCTAATACAATGAAAACAGATACAGCAGGGCCCCCGTGATCTGCGGGATCAGTGGCCATAGTTTCACTTATCTGCAGGCTGAAAATATTAAAAAGAAAAAAACTGGAAATATGTATTTTCACCATGTATTTCCCGGAATGGGTATTCAGAGGGAACCAGAGACCATGCTTTGTGCTGAGGTTGGTGAAAAATACCAAAGGGCTCTCTCTAGTGGCCAGTTCTGGTAATGAATGGTGAAAGTACTTTTTTCTGTATTTTCCCCCCTTTTACCATGCTATGTATAGTGTTTGTTATTATCCACAGATTTCAGTATCAGTGGGAGGAGCTTAGAACCATTTGCCCATTGTTGGATGGATTTATGGAGTTCTCCTGCACAAGATGGAAGTGGTGGGTGACAGGCATAGGTTGCGTTTAATAGAAATTATGAGCAGCTTACAAAATGCAGGCGGAAACCTACCAAGATGTTTCAACTGTAATTTCATAATGGATTTTATTAATCCAGGGTGGCTGGCCACCCTTCAAGGCCAGATCCTTTAGGGAGCGGGGTGGTGGAAACAGAATGGGAGTCATGATGCTTTTCGGGTTCAGAAAGCATCTGTGGGGCTGTTACAGAAAAAAAGATGAACTTCTGGTATAATCCAGCAGGACCCCTATTCAAGGCGAGTGGAAGAATCTCTGTAATGCCCTTACCACTCGGACCAGGCGTCCCGACTTGGCGTCAAGCACGAGAACCTTCTGAGAAGATGTCGTCACTAAAAGGTGGCCCAAAGGGAAAGGGGCAAAGCATAGTCTCACAGCTGTGTCCAGAACGGCGCTGTCCAGGTCTAAGATGCTCACGTCCACTCTCAGCAGCTGAAAAAGCAAGAAGAAGAAGAAGACATGATTATATTAGTACAAGCAGAGAAAAATTACTTAAAGCAGCGAAAATGGAGAATATTTGGAAAACAACAGAAACAAAGGGTCAATGTAAGAAACAACAATTTGAAAATAAATTAAACAGCTGGAAAAATAAACCACTACATGGACAACACCTGAGAAATATTGATGGAAAGCATAATCATAATTCAACATGGGCATAGCTAAAACTGGGGACTCTTAAGAAGGAAACTGAAGGCTACAGTTTTGCTACACTCCAAACCAACGTGATGAAAGCTAAGATCCAAGGAATCAGTGCTAACTGCAAATATCAACTCTGCCACGAAAAAGAGGAACCTGAGTCACATTTCATCTGTGAATGTCCAAAAATGCAGAAACAGATTACAAAATTAGACATGATAACAGTGGCAAAAATTTGTGCACTGGTCGTTATGCAAAAAATATAACTTTCCAGCCGCCCAAAACCTGTGGGAACATCAGGTAGAGCAGGTGCCAAGAAAATAAGGGAGTCAGGATCTTGTGGGATTTCCGGATCCAAATGGATAAACACATTGAATGTAACACACCAGACATAGTAGTAATAGAGTGAAGAAGTATCTGGATCATTGATATTGCATTTTTCATGGAGTGAAAAGCAAACCGATCAAAGTGATTCACCCAGTAGAGCTACCAGCTACACGAAAGGTATACCTCCCTTTTCTCTTCCTACGGCCAGAATCCTCTTGGTATTCACTAGGTGTGGAACGACAACCAGGTCACCGGCTACTTCTGAAACTGCAGCTCCATGCCGGGTGCAAACCAAGACATTTTGGCCAGAGGTCTCAGGGAAAGAGCTGCCGAAAGGGTTCCACCTTCCCTCCCCCTCTAACCCAGAGGGCTCCACGCCTCCGACATCCCTCCAGAGAAGCTTCTTTCCCGTCTTCCCAAGGCGTGTTGTGCAAGGATGGCAGGTACCTCATCCAGCGTATGGGCGTCCATGAGGGTCACGATGTACTTGGAAGGTCCCACAAAGGCCAAGAGACGCCCGTCGCCGCTGACGGACAACGCGTCAGGACCGTGTTCGGCTTCTTGCGACACGACGTTAGCTGAAAGGGGGGAGGAAAATAGAAACAAGACATATTGCCAGACACGGGGCCACTGAAGCCGTAACACGCCAAGCATTCACAGAGTTATTTACCCACGAGAAAAGACACGGAAATGCTAAAGCTAGTGCCAGACTATAATTGCAACATGTGAGCAGGCTACAATAGGACGCCCACCCCAATCTGCAGGATCGTATCTGCGGATTCACTTATCCGCTTCCTGAAAATATTAAATCAAACCCCTTAGAAATTTTGTTGTTCTTTAGTCATTAAGTCGTGTCTGACTCTTTGTAACCCCATGGACCAGAGCACGCCAGGCCTTCCTGTCTTCCACTGCCTCCTGGAATTTGGTCAAAGTCATGTTGGTAGCTTCGGTGAGGTTGAAGCCATCTTGTCCTCTGTCATCCCCTTTTCCTCTGGCATTCACACTTTCCCAACATCAGGGTCTTTTCCAGGGAGTCTTCTCTTCTCATGATGGCCAAAGGATTGGAGCCTCAGCTTCAGGATCTGTCCTTCCAGTGAGCACTCAGGGTTGATTTCCCCCCAGAAGTACATGTAAACCACAATGTAGTTACAAGCACTGCCCACTAGGGGGAGCCAGAGACCATGCTATGCATAGGGTTCACTATCATCCACAGTTTCTGGCATCCATGGGGCAGGAGCTTGTAACCAATGCCCTACAGATACAGTATGTATTTCCAACCCATAACCCCTTTCTTATCAGACTCTATGTGGCCAAGCTTCAGGCATCGTTGGGAGGCATTGATCCTGCTTCGGGACCCTCCTGGACCCGCATCAGCCCCTCCAGATGAAACAGGAAATGACACCCACCCTTTGATGTTAGGCCAAGCACCTCCCCATCGACGCGAACGGCGCCCACAGTAAGGCTTACCGAGAACTCGGACAATGTGGCTTTTCTGGACAGCGCAGTTGTAAAGAGCCAGGGTCCCGTGCGCGCAGCAGCTGTACATGAAGTTCCCGTCTGGAGAGAAGGCCAGACCCGTGATGGAGCCTCGGTGCTGCCTGGAAAATGTCCCGGAAAGGGCAGGGAAACAGGGAAGACGGAGGTTGAAGCCGACCCACCCCTTTCAAGCATTAAGGGTTACACGGGTCGGCTGGGCTGATCCAAACCCAGCTCCCACAAGGTAAAGGGCCGATGGCGCGCGCCCTTACGACGAGGCAGGGACTGAACATCCTGACCATGTCCTCGTAAAGTCCTCCTTCTGTTGAGATATTCGACAGGATATCCTCCAGCCGATACTGCAACCATTTCAAGGAAGGTCCAGAGGATTTTATGTCGGGCTCTTACTCTTGATCAAGAAATCTGACATAACTAAAGCAACGCCAGATGTTTAGTAACGGTGTGTATTGCCCACCCATCTCCTCCGTCCCGTGAAACTACGGAGATCCTATCAAGTTGAGTCCTATTGCAATGGGCTGTGCTTTTTAAATCAGATTTTCGGGTTATACTACTATTTAGAATAACAATATTCGAATACATATCTGCTGGTCAATGACCATCCTATAGATCAGACTCGCAATCAAGATAAGGGGAGGACGCGGGCCGGACCGTCTGGGCTTTGGGCGACAAAATGGCCCACGCTTGGTGGAAGACATCTCTAACGAAAGGTCCTTGCCTCGGCCCTTTAGAAAAGGTATCCCTTGCTCTTTCAAAGCATTCACTTCGCTCAGGGCTGCGAACGCGTTAACAAGATACTGGTGGCACTGGTTTCAGCATCCTCGCCGGCAGGCGTGCCCCCAGAAACATAGCCAGCACATTACTTCGCTGTTTCTTGCCAAGACTTATAAGATTCCCTTACACGAGCGGAAAGGGGCAATTGGATCCTGGCCACTGATAAGAAACAAGCACAGAAAATAGACATTCAGGGAAAGGCATTCCAGCCAGAGCCAGCTCCTGGGGCAAAGATTATAGCGGCATTCCTATTTCATTAAAGGCTTGTAAGGCACTTTTATTATATTACAAGCAAATATTATTTATATATTTTATTTTCTATAATTTTATTTTCTACTATTTTATTTTCTATTTTCTATAATTTTATAATTTTATTTTATTTTCTATTTTTTATAATTTAATTTCTATTATTTTATTTTATTCCACCTATCTGGCTGGTGGCCACTCGCTCTGAGCAGTTTCCAACAAACACAGCAATCCCAATCTGATGGGAACAAAAAAATAAAAATAACAAAACACAAATACATAATACCATCAAAAGCACGAAAAGACACTGAAATCAACATTTAGAACAGCGGACTTGATCAAATTTGGCGAATTAAACTCCGCTGACCCGGCAGGTCTATCGTGATGCACAAAACACTTCACACATATTTTTGGGGGGTCTGGAAGGAACCTCATTCCAAACCAGCACCCACTTTCCCTTGGGCTGCTTTTTAACACATGATCAGTGCTGGAAATCTGAAACGGGAAGCCACATAAAAACGTACTTGTGCTCTTCAAGGAGCCTGGAGGCAGCCAGGCTGATGGTTCTCACCACGCCGGTATCGAAACCGCAGGCAAAAATATGTTGAGAGGGGTGGAAGGCCACCGTGCAGGGCGTTTCGTCCGAGGCACTGAATTCGTACAGCTGTGGGCAAGAGAGAGACGCATCCTGATCAGAGACACCGGACAGCCGATGGGAGAGAAGAAAACGGCAAGCAAGGTCGCCTCCTGCCGTTTCAGCTCACACCCCGTGACAAGCAAATAAACTAGCCAGCCCTCAAATCCACCTGAATGAAAACCGGGAACTAAAGTTAAAACTACAAGCCACGTTTCCTTCGCCTTCCAAAAATATAAAAATATGCAGAGTATTTTGCTGATTTGGGGATGTTTTACACTCTTTACACCAGGAGTCTCCGGTCACAACACGATTCCCCCCAGTAGAGATTCTCATGGGCGAAGGATATTAGATTTACAAGTCAAGACTCCGGACAACAAGTTCTCCCCCCCCAGCTGGTTCCGGATGCCAAGATTGAACCCCTCTGCCGGCATTACGAATAAACGGCCTTTCACATTGCCTGCTGCATGGTTTCCATGTCCCAAACGCGGATGGTGCGATCCCGAGACACCGTCACCAGCTGCTTCTGAGATCCGTCCACCGAGAACGCCAGAACGGACTCCACGTGGGAGCGCATGATGGTGCAGTAGTCCCTGGACTGGATGTCCAGGCAGCCCACGTTCCCCGTGGCGGTCGTGCACAAAACCTTCAGCTGATCTGGGCTGATCCAAACAGAATTCACCGGGTAGTCGTGCTCTGGAGAAAGACAAAATGGCTTTTAACCATCACCGCGGAGTCCCTGGATGCCTTCTGAAAGTTAAGACAGTTCTTAATGTTGACTTGCTTTTAACTGTGCAACTCTATTTTAGTTTGCATATCGTTTAATTTTTTTAAAATTAATTTAATTAATTCCTGCAGATTGTCATGCTTACGCTCACATAAAGGAACTCAAGCATCACCACCACGTTTCAGCCTAGAAAAAGCTGATCGCCACCCATCTGCCTCCCAAAGAGCGCCTCATCTTTTCAGTTTGCAATCCTGACGGCTGGCCCCTTCTAATTCTGGATCCCAGCCACTACGTGTGGTTCTCCGGAGATGGTTGGACTACAATTCCCATCTGCCCTGGCTGACATAGTGATGAGGGATGATGAGAATGTCAGCCTGACATCTAGGGAGACGTAGACAGGAGGAACCCCATGTCCAAGGGATTCAATATATCCACTGTTTCACTTATCCACAGTCTGCAAATGTTAAAAATATTGAAAGGAAAGAAAACACCTAGAAATCCATACCGTATTTTTCCGTGTATAAGACAATACTTTTGTCTAAAATCTTTAGACTAAAAATCGAAGGTTGTCTTATACATGGAAGCAAGCTGAGGAGAGAAACACTCGATTGCAAAACTGCTCAGACTGAACAGGGACTTGTAATGTCCAATTTTGGGTTAGAAAAGTCTTACACATGGGGGCGTCTTATACACAGAAAAACTATGTATTTACCAATTATGGCCATTAGAAGGAGCAATAGATTTCCACTGTGACCAGTCTCTGGCTCCCTCTAGTGGCCAGTCCTGGTAATATATGGTGAAAACACATATTCTCTGGATTTTTCTTTTCTTTTACACTATGTATAGAGTTCACTATTATCCACAATTTTCAGGATTTGCGGGGGGGGTGTAGAATCAATCCCCTGCAGATACAGGCTCCCATTGTATTCCTCACCCCTCCTCTTTACTGGTGATGGTATAACAGAATTCATTAAGAAAATTTAAGGTTCAAGACAAAAATTCTGCCACAACTGCGTAAAGAGCTCGACGCCACCAAGCAATCGGGCGTGTGAGAGACTCTCTTATCTCGCTTTGCAAGAGCTGGGTGAAACACATATGCAGCCCCAGGAGTGGGTGGCGCTGTACGCACCTGCCTCTAAGATCACTTCAGAGAAATCCAGCGGCCACAAACGCAGGTACCCGTCTTCGGAGGCTGTGGCGCAGAAATTCGGGGACAGGCATATACCGTTTAGTGCAATCCCAGGACCTAAAAGTGCAAAGACACATACACTAAGCTTCCGGACGCACAAGAACTGTAAATGAGACCCCACCCTCCAGGAAGTCCAAAACACGTCCTCCAGCTATCAGTGGTAGGAAATCGGGAGATTCTCTAAGCCTTCATCTGCTGTGGGACAGTTCTGAAATTCAAAGGCCCACTAATGTAGTCCTCCTGTATCCACTAGAAACAATACAGTAGGGGGCCCCTATCCACAGGACCAATATCCGCTGATTCACTTATCCGTTACCTGAAAATACAAAGTTTAAAAACCCCAGAAATACATATGTGTTTCCAGATTGTATTTACGAGAACTGGCCACTAGAGGGAGACAGAGACCATGCAATGTATAGTGTTCCGTACTTCCGCGTTTTCCGGCATCCACGGAAAGAGGGCTTGGAACTCATCCCCCATAGATACCATGGTCTCATTGCACCAGTTCCTGGGAACGTGAACAGAAGGATACTGTTCTATTTTGTGTTTCCTTATAGGTTTTCCCAGTGGACACTGGCTGGTCTCTGTGGAAACGATGCTAGACTAGATGATTTCCTAGTGTTAAGGAGCTCTTATATTTTTACTGGAAAAGTGCTAAATTCCACGTCACCCTTGGGTTTCCAACGGTCTGCAAACTCCCCAAGAGATAAGCCTAACCCTGGAGAGCTTGGTACTTTCGGCCTCAGGCTGCCAAGCCAGTGGCTGGGAGTTTGATTCCCAAGTGGGCCTCCTTGACAGGGGCTGAACCTGATGAGGCGTACGTCCCTCCCAGCTCTAAGACGACGATAATTTCCCACAAAAAGAAAGCCTCCTCAACTCTTAACACCGCAGAAGCCACACCTGAGTTGAACGTCTGCTTCTCTCGCCGATGACGGTGCTGTGCCTCGGACGGCAGGAGGCGCCGGGCGTTTCGGACCGTGACCGACTTATAATCTATTTCCAATACATGCCCACTTCTGCTGCAGACGAACCTAAGAGGACAACACTGTCATGAAGTACAGCGGAACCCACTATCCGCGGGATCCGTATCCGCTGATTCACTTAACCGCTGCTTGAAGATACTAAATTTTAAAAACCCAGAAATGCCTACTGATATATATTTCCAGGGTGTACTAACCAGACCTGGACATTAGAGGGAGCCAGAGACCATGCTATGTATAGGGTTCAATACTTCCACGTTTTTCAGCATCTGGGGGTGGGTGGGTTTGGAGCCAATTTCCTGAGGATACCGCAGTACTGCACCATATGAGAAGTAACTGGAGAATTTCCAGGGCTGCAACTTTTAAGTCAGTTTATCAATCAACTAAAGCCTTAAACTGAATCTGCCTAAGGCACTCGGTTTAACTGGACAGGCAGAAGCACACAAGTGATAAATTACCGATTGCACTGTTATCTTTGCACCCTTCTGATACCTGAAAAAGGGCTCGTTTTACATGCAAATAGAACCTGATCTGCAAAAGAATTAAACTCCAAGTTATCAGGACACATTTGCTATCTTATTTTCACAGAGACGTGAAGTCCCACATCTCCGAGCCACGCGGACATGCGGAGATAGAGTCCCACAAGAGAACACCCAACGGGTGGGTTCAGAACATGAACCAAGGGGCCAGGCAGCCAAATCTTACAGCGTCCGATCTTCCGGCTCGCGGTCTGCGGAGTGGCCTGCCTCGAAGGCCAGGTCAGTGAACTCCAGGGAACGGTATTCGCCCAAATTTACCGGGCAGGAGCGCAGGGCCCCGCTCCGGACTCGCCACAGCCTCACGTTGTCTCGGCCGCACGAGACCATCCTGTAACGAGAAGAGCAGGAGGCGGACTGGAAGGGGCTCGTTTTACATGCCAAAAACGGTCCCTTCTTTTTCGGTCCAGAAAGGACACACATGGGTTTGAAGCAGGCAGGCAGGAAGACGCCTGATCCCGGCAGCTCTCCCACACCCCCTTCGCTTGCAAACTTTGCACCCTGCAGCGTGCTCTGATTCTCCCTCTCTCTCTGCAGTGCAGCTCTGCCGTTCAGCCGCAATGAAACACCCGTGTGATGATCAACTACACAAATCCCCCCCCACCTGCCATATGAAAACTGCCTGCATGCACACCATGGATCCAATAAGAGAAAAACCGAAAAGCATGGCCCATATTTTGAGGCCGATAATGGATGCCAATGGCTGAACACCCCACCTCCACTGCAAATGAGTTGGAGTCAAGCCAACGTGGTGGAACGGTTAAAGTCAATTCCATTCCCACTGGCATGGGTTCTCATCTCCACCGATGCTCACAGGAGAGATTCCGCCGGCGCTCTTTACCTGGTGTCATCAAAAAAGGCGATCTTTAAGGTCTGGATGTCCACATCAGTGTGGGCCTTAGCTAGCATCACCGCTTCCCCTCCGCGGGTCACCTGAACAGTGTTCCACACGGCTACCACCTGCAAAGAAAGTGGAAGGCAACAGCCGGGGCTGTGGGTGAGACAGGATGCAGAAGACGCAGCCTCAGAGCCCTCCTTGAAATCATTGGCTTATCAGCCTCCTATTCTGCATTGGACCCAACTCTATTTTAACAGGGAGAAAAATCCAATTCATCCTTTAAAATTAAAAATTACAGTAGGAAGCCCCTTATTCGCGGGATCAGAATCCACGGATTCGCTCATCAGCAGTCTAAAAATATTACAAGAAAAGCATAAAGCAATTTCTTTTCAGTTTATAAATGGGAGAGACCGTGTGTTGTAAAAGATGAAGTGCTAAGCTAGGGTTTCGGAGGCCTGGGTTTGCATCCCCACTCCAACCATGGACGTAAGGGGGGGCGGCGGCCACGGTAAGACCATTTCTTGAACATCTCACCTACTTTGAAAACTCTGTTACGGCAGCCCTAAGTCGGGGGGGGTGTGTCCCTTGACAGCATGTACAGGTGTAAATAGAATTGGGAAAAAGTCTCCATGATTTCTTCAGGTATACTGATGCATTTCTAGACAAGCTGAAGAATTAGGAAAAACCCTCCATGATTTCCTCAGGTACACTGATGCGTTTCTAGACAAGCCGAACATGACCCTTCTATGATGGGAAAGGACACTTCAATCGCAGGGAGGCTTATTAAAACGATACAAATGGGAATGAAAAAAAAAAGACAGACTAACAATAGGACCTATGAATCTACGGCCATCTGTTTTGCAGAAAACACAGAGGGGCACTTTTGTCTCTGCAAAGGACACCATGCCGTTCCACTCACTGTTTTCCCGTGCCGGTCCTTCCCGGTGCCACAAAGGATGCTCCCGCTGTAGGAGAAGCTGAAAAAGAACCAAGGGTCCAAAAGTCAATGGCACAGCCTGTGCATTTCATGCTGGAGGCTCCCGGTTCCCCACCCGGGATCCTCCGGTTAGCAGAGTGGCATAGAAAGCTTTCTACCCAACACAGATGTCCATCTGCCACTCAGAGAAGATACTTCTTGATTTCCTAGACATTTATACAAATCGGCTGAAACCACCTTTTCTCCGTTCAGAGGAAACCCAGATCCAAAGTCCGTGGTGGGATAATCCTGACATCGACTAAATGGGTGGCCTTTCTTTATCCATCACACACGCCGCTCCTCTTCCAAGGTGCCCAGTCGAGATGGGCACGAACCAGTCCAAATGGGTCTTCAGCGGTTCAGAGCCCTGCCTCCTCTGGCAGCCGCCCGCTCAGAAGCCGCTGCCTGGGGAGGCAGAGCAGGGAAGCTGGGGTGCTGCCTCTGAGTGCGCCCCCGACGGAGGAGGCAGGGCTGGGAACTGGCAAACGTTTGTGCGTCTGATGGATGAACCAGTGGTTCGTGCCCATCTCTAGTGCCCGGTGCTTACCTGAGGCAAGAGACTGAATCCATGCCTGTTTTAAACACGCCAAGGCACTCTCCCGACGGGAAGTCCCAGAGACGCATCATGCTCAGCTGCCCCGTCTGCGCCGACGCCAACAAAGTGTCGTTGCCATTGAACGCCAGCGGAGGAGGCAGGGCTGGGAACTGCCAAACGTTTGTGCGTCTGACGGATGAACCGGCAGTTTGTGCCCGTCTCTAGTGCCCAGTGCTTACCTGAGGCAAGAGACTGAATCCATGCCTGTTTTAAACACGCCAAGGCACTCTCCCGACGGGAAGTCCCAGAGACGCATCATGCTCAGCTGCCCCGTCTGCGCCGACGCCAACAAAGTGTCGTTGCCATTGAACGCCAGCGCTGCCACCTGCAGGCGAGGAGGCCACAGTAGAAATGGGCCCCAGCGTTCCCTTCAGGATCTGTTCCACTTTAACCAAAGGCAACCCTCGGCTGTTACTTCCAACATCTCCGGCTCTGCATGCAGGCAGCATGGCAAGAACAGCCCCACGGCTTAGACTCTAACCCTTAGACCAGCCACGTAAATTGCACCAAAATTGCAACTCATCCGCCACGGATGAAGATACAAGAAAAAACTCCAGATGAAACAACTTTCACATGTATTACCAGAACCAGCCACTAGAGGGAGGCAGAGACCACACTAGGAATACTTGTGAGTGAAGAATACATAGCACGCTCCATGGCAAGAACAGCCCCACGGCTTAGACTCTAACCCTTAGACCAGCCACGTAAATTGCACCAAAATTGCAACTCATCCACCACGGATGAAGATGCAAGGCAGAGCCGTTGGTCTCAAAGCCAGTTAATGAATTTAGATGAAAATCTAATGCATAGGTTTTCCACCTTCGAATCACAAAATGATGCAGTTGGAAGGGGCCAATAAGGCCGTGGAGTCCAGCCCCTGCTCATGGCAGATTTCTTATACAGTAGGATTCCCCCCCCATTCGCGGGATCAGTACCCATGGTTACACTTCTCTACGGTCTATATATATTAAAAATACTGAAAGAAAAAAATCCAGATGAAACAACTTTCACATGTATTACCAGAACCAGCCACTAGACGGAGGCAGAGACCACGCTAGGAATACTTGTGAAGAATACATAGCACGCTTTCTGTTGCCCTCTTGTGATCAGTTCTGGTAATGCATGTGAAAATAATTTTACAGATTTTATTTATCCTTTTGCCATACTGTCTATCTATCGATCTATCTATTTGCTATTATCCACAGTTATCAGTATCCACAGGGGGTCTTGGAACCAATCCCCAGTAGCTATGAGGATCCTACTGTATAACATTTAAGTAACAATGCCAAAGGCCTATAAAATGTGTAGGTATATAGAAAAGACTTTTTAAGGAAGGAGAAGGTAAGGGTTTTTTTTTCCTCTTATGATCTTGTCCCACCTCTCCATAAGCGTCAGCTTCTGCACTTCTGTCTTGATTTCTTCATGACATACGGCTTAAAGAAATGGAGGCAGAAGCTTTAGAGCCGACATGCCTGGAGATGTAAGAACGCAACTCAACCGTTCTTGAGAGCATTATAGCTGAGCCAGTCTCTAATCCTTTTAAGGCAGATCTCTCCGCATGGGGTCGGCGTGGAGAGCAGGCCCCAGCAGCGGTGACATTTTAGAAGCCGTGTACTGATTCTGAAAATATACAAGTGTTTTTTTTTAAACAGCACAAGCATAAAAGAAAGGTGGCAATGCCTTTCTCAGTAGTTCAAAAATGGCTTTGTCAAAATTTTGAAAATTAATGTCTGTATACACAAGGAAAGAACAGCATTAAAAGGCTCTTAAGAAAGGCTTAAAAACGCAAACTGGAGATAATGTTTTTGTTAATTAAGGCAGAAGGTGAGCTGAGATATGCAGTCGTTTAACAAACACTGGATGAAGCCTGTGAGACACCAGAATAACTCGAATCCCCAAATACATCTTATTTGTGTTGCAAAACATCCGCATTTAACAGTCCACTCTGAGCCTCCTCTATACTTGAGTCACATGCTAAAAAAAATTTGACAAAGGGAGCAAAGGTTACCTTATCAGTGTGGCCAGCAAAGAACCGCTGCCTGCCAGAGTCTAGCGCTATTGCTACAATCAAAGCATGGCAAGGATACAGAACCACAGAGCCGCCGGCAGCCCACAAAGCCTGAGAGACAGAAAGAAAAAAAGGTAAGTCATAGAGTTGTGGGCCAGAAATATATACAGTAGGGCCCCCTTCTCCATGGGATCAGTATCCGCTGATTCATTTATCCACAGTCTGAAAATTTCAGAAACATGAAAGACCGACGCTGAAAAACAGAGATTATAAGGAATGGCAGTTTAATAGCAAACGCTATGCACAGCATGGTCTCTGGCTCCCTCCAGTAGCCAGTTCTGGTGATGACATTGTAGAAATATACATTTCTAGGATTTTTAAAAATTTTCAGACCGTGGATAAGCAAATCAGTGGAGACCAATCCTGCATATATATGGGGTCCTGCTGTATTTTAGTATAAATGCAATACACAAAAACCGGAGTGACCCGCACAGGACTGAATTGTCTGATTTCAACAGAGCATTCTCTCAAGGAAGGGTGCGGAAAATTACCGTCACAAATGCTTTGGACGTCGCTTACACTCAAAACAAAGAAAAAAAGAACGAAAAATATACCGTACTTCCCCAAGACACCTTTTGCTCCAGAAGATGTCCCCGGGGAAATGTGGATATACTGACCCATTTGGTGCTGCAGCCTCCGAATCCGATAACCTTCTTCAGCGTCAGAATTGGGTCCGGTAACAGCCTCTGAAAAATCAATTCAGCTTCAGAGTGGAGGAAGCAGAAAGTGTTCCTGATGGTTAGGCTAGACTTTGCACCGCTTGGTATGGAAACGAGCCACCACCTGTTCCACTCGGGATCAAGAAATCTGTATTTGAACACCAAAGATCTAAAAAGGTCCCATAACGCTTCAACACCATGGCAAATGGGACTTGGTCTCCCTTTGAAGAGGGGCTGCAGACGAGTTTCAGAACCCATGTTGTGCATTTAAAAGTCCCAGGTTCGATTCTTGGCATCTCCAGGCAGGGGCTCTCTTCTTGGAAACACTTGAGAACAGCTGCCTGTAGAGGTACTGAACCGGATGGAGGAAGGCTCCAACTAAGTACAACAGGACCCCCATATCTGCAGGGGATTGGTTTCAAGTGCCCCGCGGATACTGAAAACGGTGGATAATAGAGAATTCTATTTTAATAGTGAGGACTATACATAGCATGGTCTTTGGCTCCCTTTAGTGGCCAGTTTTGGTCACCTTGAAAAATATATGTTTTATTTTATTTTTTAATTTTCAAACTGTGGATAACTGAACCAGTGGAATACTGATCCCGCAGACAAGGGGGTCCTACTGTACTTTTAATAGCAGAAGAGGAGGAGAAGTTCTCTCACCATGCAGCGAGCAGAATTCTTGGCTGAAACCACCTTTGGCCTCGTCCCTTGCGGGCATATATTCTACAAGAGACAAGCAAGCGTCAAAAGCTTAGGGACACAGAAAAGTTAAAGCGCCATTTAGGTGACAAGCCACTCCCTGTTTGCCGCAGCTGCATCCTCTTAGAGAGGAACCAGCCGTCTTCCCAGGACAGCAGTCACAAACAGAGCGGGCCCGGTAAAGCAGCAGAAATATGACTATCGCTGTAAGATCTTGAGTAGAGATGGGCACGAACCACCAGTTCGGCGGGTTTTGTCGGTTCGTAACTCAGCTGAACGGGCGTTCGGCCTTCCCAGCCCTGCGGGCTCAGAGGCAGTGTCCCAGCTTTACTGCCCTGCCTCCCCCAGGCGCTGCCTCTGAGTGGGCAGCCTGCTGGAGGAGGCAGGGCTGGGAAGCGCCAAACACCTGTTTGGCCAACAAACCAACCAGCGCGAACTGCCGAACGAGCGATTCGCGCCCATCTCGTTTCTTCAGCACTAACCGACGACTCTTCCTTATTTGACCGACCCCTTTAGCCAAAGCTCATTGTGGATCTGTGACCTGGAACAGCTGCTTCGTGGAAATATCTCCTAAGGGGTCACAGCAGTGGCACGCAAACCCGTCTGGGAAGCGCCAAACACCTGTTTGGCCGACGAACAAATCAGTGCGAACTGCCGAACTAGCGATTCGCGCCCATCTCTTTTCTTCAACACTAACCGACGACTCTTCTTTATTTGACCAACCCCTTCGGCCAAAGCTCATTGCGGATCCATGACCTGGAACAGCTGCTTCGTGGAAATGTGTCCTAAGGGGTCATAGAACTGGCACGCAAACCCGCTGCTCACCTCATCCGAATCCACAGGGACGGCGTGGATTGTCACTTCCCCTTTTCGGTGGGCATACACATGGATGCCACCATCATCCACTGGAGCAGCCGGGAGGCAGGAATCCCCCCCAGCCCGGAGTCCTTCTCTCGGGCCCGGGGGGTCCACAGCGTGGGCTGTCTGTAGAGGCTCAGAGACCGTCCGGTGAATCTTGGGGACGTTCTTTGTAAGTAAAGGAGACTGGCGGGCCATCTGGAAAAAAAACAACAACGTGGAAAAGAAGAAATCAGGACCGCCCTGCCTTATTCTCTTGTTTCTGATACAGGCCAAATAAATTTGTTAGAGGAAAAATGCCATTAAGGGGCTGCTTCATTCTGCGCTCTGCAGTTTGAGCAGTGTATTTTTATTTTTATTTATTTAAGATCTTTCTACCCTGGCCTATCTCCTTAAGAAGGACTTAAAGTGGCTTACGTTATTAAAAGACAGCATTTAAACTAAAAAATGGCAAGTCTACAGATAATCAAGAAAAGGATCAAACAAATACCAGACTAAAAGATGGTCAACAAAATCAGCACCAAAAATATCTTCAAAGCCGTTAAGGCACAACCATTCATTTAAAAAAACCTCACTCAGGCAGCCAGCCATTGAGGGAAAGCTTGCTTGAAGAGAAAGGGGTTTGGGCTGCTGGCGGAAGGACTGCCAAGATGGGGCCAGGTTGGCCTCCAGTGGCAGGGAGTTCCAGAGTCTCCGGGAGCAGCCACACAGAAGGCCCTCCCCCGTGTCCCCATCAAGCGGACCTGTGAAGGTGGTGGGACCGAGAGGAAAGCCTCTCCCGATGATCTTGGAACATCCCCAACCCTGGACAAAAAAAACCCACAGGGATGAATGAGAGACACTCACCTCTTTGGGGCTGGTAATCTGTTGGATGAGAGATACCCGGTCTCGCACTGGTTTGCTCAAGGATACTGGCTTTGTCAACTGGCCCACGGGCTTGTCTTCCGCACAAGCCACTGAAAGGACAGGAAGAAAACTTAGGTGTGTTTACCCAGCAATAAGCTATCGTGTTTTGGCTGGAGTGTACAGAATCCGTGCCGCCTAGACACATTTCATGGGTGCACTAAATCCCACAGAGATACCCGGTCTCGCACTGGTTTGCTCAAGGATACTGGCTTTGTCAACTGGCCCACGGGCTTGTCTTCCGCACAAGCCACTGAAAGGACAGGAAGAAAACTTAGGTGTGTTTACCCAGCAATAAGCTATCGTGTTTTGGCTGGAGTGTACAGAATCCGTGCCGCCTAGACACATTTCATGGGTGCACTAAATCCCACGGAACTCAATGGGGCTTAACTTCTGCAGAGATAGAACAGGACCTCTAAGCTGTGGTGTTTTGGCTCGAGTGTACAGAGTCCGTGCCGCCTAGACACATTTCATGGGCGCACTAAATCCCATGGAACTCAATGGGGCTTAACTTCTGCAGAGATAGAACAGGACCTCACTCTTAAGCTGTGGAAGAGCTCTAAGCAAAACAGCAAAGTGAGATAGGCCCACCCCCGGCTTAGAGCAAATAAGGTATGGTAGGACTGCTGTATCCGCAGGATCGGTATCCGCGGTTTCATTTACCCACGGCCTTTAAAACAAACCCAGAGATGCACGCTCCCAAGGTGTAGAGCAAATAAGGTATGGTAGGACTGCTGTATCCGCGGGATCGGTATCCGCGGTTTCATTTACCCACGGCCTTAAAAACAAACCCAGAAATGCACGCTCCCAAGGTGTGTTACTACCACTAGCTAGAATCAGAGACTATATTATAGACAGGGGGCTTAAAGGGAACACAGTCATGGCGTGACTTCTCTGAGGGCAGCAAAAGCTGTGTTTGCTGGGGGGGGCAGGGAGAGGGGTAAGTTGCTTGTTTCAGGAAAGCCTCCCTTGCAAACGGGGACGGGGTGGGGCAGAAAACCCAGTCCTTTGGCAAAACTGGTCCGGGGCTCCCTCTCAACCCTCCACGGATACCAAACAAGCTGGAAATCAGTGGGGATATTCGGAGAGCGATTCGCAAAGACTGAACTAAAAGAAGTAAATCTAAAGGTTGGATAACTCAGAAAGAGGTAAACGGACCGACTGATGCCATTCATTTTGAATCCACGATTCCAAATCCACAAGTAATTTGTCGGAATGCGTTGAACCAGATGCTATCGCCTTTGGTTCATCTGCTGGAATCCGAGGTTGGTAAAATTACTTTTTCTCTTTTTTTGGCTACAGCTCCTACCCAGCGTGATCCAGAAAGGCCAGGTTTCCCACCTCTGCTAGAACCAGCTCTCTAAGTTGACGCCTGTTTTCCGTGGTGTCGTGTGGTTCGGGTTACGTGGCGGATTCTACCTGAATGACTTCCCCTTCCCAAAGACCCTCTTCTCCGAATTTGCTTACCTGCCGCAGGAGCTGAAGCGGCTTTCTGGATAGAGTCAAACGGCATCTTGGATCCGTCAGAAGGAAACCTGCATCAGGACAGCAAGGGGGGAAAAGAATGTACAGTTTCATTGCTTTGCTTAATGCTTAATTTGTGATGTTTTTAATTCTTTTTTTTTTTTTAATATTGTGAGCCACCTTGGGACCCCTTATCGGGAGAAAGGCAGCCTATATATAAAGCAAGCAAGCAAACAAACAAGGAAATAAGTAAAACCAGTTTTAAAAAAGTAGAACGAAGTTGAAAAAGGAGGAGCCACTATCTAGAACCACAACAATTAGAAATGAGCAAAACTTACTGAATGTGGTCATAGAGATCATGCCAGTTTTCACCTTTGGGCACGGGAAATGCCATTTCTCGTGGCATGGGAGAGGCGCCGTGCAGAGCCTGTTTGGACTGCTGAGCCTCCGAAAAAGTCGAGGGAAAGCCTGCCTTGCAAACGGGGACGGGGTGGGGCAGAAAACCCAGTCCTTTGGCAAAACTGGTCCGGGGCTCCCTCTCAACCCTCCACGGATACCAAACAAGCTGGAAATCAGTGGGGATATTCGGAGAGCGATTCGCAAAGACTGAACTAAAAGAAGTAAATCTAAAGGTTGGATAACTCAGAAAGAGGTAAACGGACCGACTGATGCCATTCATTTTGAATCCACGATTCCAAATCCACAAGTAATTTGTCGGAATGCGTTGAACCAGATGCTATCGCCTTTGGTTCATCTGCTGGAATCCGAGGTTGGTAAAATTACTTTTTCTCTTTTTTTGGCTACAGCTCCTACCCAGCGTGATCCAGAAAGGCCACGCTTCCCACCTCTGCTAGAACCAGCTCTCTAAGTTGACGCCTGTTTTCCGTGGTGTCGTGTGGTTCGGGTTACGTGGCGGATTCTACCTGAATGACTTCCCCTTCCCAAAGACCCTCTTCTCCGAATTTGCTTACCTGCCGCAGGAGCTGAAGCGGCTTTCTGGATAGAGTCAAACGGCATCTTGGATCCGTCAGAAGGAAACCTGCATCAGGACAGCAAGGGGGGAAAAGAATGTACAGTTTCATTGCTTTGCTTAATGCTTAATTTGTGATGTTTTTAATTCTTTTTTTTTTTTTAATATTGTGAGCCACCTTGGGACCCCTTATCGGGAGAAAGGCAGCCTATATATAAAGCAAGCAAGCAAACAAACAAGGAAATAAGTAAAACCAGTTTAAAAAAAGTAGAACGAAGTTGAAAAAGGAGGGAGCCCCCATCTAGAACCACAACAATTAGAAATGAGCAAAACTTACTGAATGTGGTCATAGAGATCATGCCAGTTTTCACCTTTTGGCACGGGAAATGCCATTTCTCGTGGCATGGGAGAGGCACCGTGCAGAGCCTGTTTGGACTGCTGAGCCTCCGAAAAAGTCACGCCTAAAAGCAACACAATGAACAACAGAGACAGAGGCATTTCCGTAAGAAGAGAATCCCTACCATCTCGCCCATCTCTGCGTCTCGACTTCCCCTGAAAATAGCACTCTTGTCCTTAAAAGAGTGCAACTCTTCAGTGTGCCAGTAAAATCAACTGCTTCTCCCTTCCTGGCCCCCCGTATGAATGCAAGCTAGCCAGTGGTCAAAATCTGGCTTGAAATTGCAAATTAAGGGCAACCATGCAGTGGTTTTTCCTCTTCTTGCTTCCTGTCAATTGCCTGTTTGCCTTGATCACAAAAATCACACTGTTGATATTGTTAGAGGCCGTCAAGTCACTCCAACCCTATGAATTAATGATCTCCAAAAGGCCACCTCGTTAACCGCCCCACTCAGGTTTTGCAAACACAAGCCTGCGACCTCTTTGATTGTCTGTCATCGTAGGATGTGAGCACTTGGTTCTTTTCCTACTGCTTTCCACTTTTTCCCTAGTGGAATGACATTACATGAAAAAGAGGGAGAGATGGAGAGAACTGCTGGAAAGATCAGGGTTTGAGGTCTCCGTCTGCCGAGCCAGACCCCAGACAAGGGTCTGGACTCCATCATCTATAGGCTCCCTTCCAGCTTTGCAGTTATAAGATCATTATTATTTGATTATTATGGGAAGAACTAGGAAAGCAAAGAAGAAGTCGAGATCCTGTAGATCAGTGTTTCCCAATCTGGGGTGTCACAAAGTGTTTTCTGGGGGGGCGGTCGTGGGTCTCCTTACATGTGTCGATTAGCGTTTGTTCATCTCTTCCTTGACCTTTCAGAGCGGGATAATAAAGTTGGGATGTATGTCTAAGTTTGAGAAGCAGGCCCTTGGGGGAGAAAGAAGCCTCCACTTTCTGAGAAGGGATAACCTGATCTCATTAAGAATGTATTTTTATGCAAACGCGGCCGAGGTGGTGGTGGTTGCAGGTGGCTTGGCTGTTGGAAAAAGAGGCCGTAACTCAAAAATACAGTGGTGCCCCATATAGCGACAATAATCCGTTCCGGAAAAATCGTCGCTATCTGGATTCGTGGCTATATGGGGCAAAAAAGCCCATAGGAATGCATTAAAACAGGTTTAATGTGTTCCTATGGGCAAAAACTTACCTTTTAAGTGAAAATCCTCCATATGGCAGCCATTTTAGCTGCCCGGTATGCGAGGAATCCATCCCTGCTTTACCCAGTGGCCATTTTGGAACCGCTGATCAGCTGTTTCCCCCGACATTGCTATGCGAAAATCAGTAAGCGAAACGCTTACCGATCATCGCAAAGCGATTTTTGGCCATTGGAAACATCGTTATGCAATCGCTTTTGCGATCGCAAAAGACGAATCGCTATGCGGATTCGTCGTTAAAAGGGGTGCTCGTTAAGCGAGGCACCACTGTACTTGGCAATCATTCCTATAGATCAAACCACCACTATTTCTAATATTGCCCTTGATCCTAAGATCATGGCAGCCACGCGGAGAAGGCCACCACCTTTGCACACAAATCCCACCTGGATCGAACAGCAAGTCACTGGTGAAGAGGTTTTTCACCAGAAGGTTGGCGCACAGCTTCACGCTCTTCAGGTGGCTATATTTTCTGTTCAGGTACAGGGAGAGGATGTAGCGGAGGTCAAGCATCAAGCAGGTCCACCGTACGTGGCTGGGAGCCAGGCCCACCAGATCTGGAGGGAAGGAAACACACCGGGGACGCACGATCATGGAATGCACAAACACACAAGAATCCTAGGCTAAACATCCATAGAAAGCCCATCACGCCTTTCCTACGCTTCTGATTTTCAAAGTAGAGGAGGTGAGTATAAGCCAGGAAGGAACTCTGCGCTCAACCACAACTTCTCCCGGCCAACGTGAAGGATCTAGTAACGTTCAGCTTCTGCCTGGTATAAGCTTTGCAATCTTGGTCTGTTTTATAGGAAAGCGAATGCTGGAAATAACCACATGCACTGCTAGCTATGGCCAGGTTAGGTTTCGTGGGGGATTTTGAAGATTCTGCCTCTTCAGTCATAACCATTTCCTGCAAGTAGACCTTGCAACCCAACCACAAAACCCTCCTTCTTAAATAAATATGTGAAGTCACAGAAAAAGTGGAAAGCAAATTTGGGGGTGGGGGGGACAACAGATTTTTATAAGGATAATTCATTGGAAAAATTGGAAATTTGGAAGAATTCAGGAGGGAAAACATCCTATAAAACATCTCGCTTGAAATGAGTGAAAAGTTAAGACAAAGCTTAACGTACACAAAAAGCCACGAACGGCTCCTTCTAGGACCCAGCTGTGGTAAGTTCATGTTTAGAAATATATATTTCCATGATTTTTTAAAATATTTTCAGACTTTGGGTAAATGAATCAGCGGATACGGATCCCGCGGATACAGGGGTCCGAAATATTTTCAGACTTTGGGTAAATGAATCGGATCCCGCAGATACAGGGGTCCTCCTGTACTGCATGCATCTCTAATATTTTATCTGGGGGAAAAAAGGGAGGAATAGTATTTTCCCTATTGTTTCGAAGTCTCCAGAAGTTTTACTCTTCTTTCCATCTCAAGGAACCTGGATCTATGCCACGAGAGCCACCAACAAAAGCACACTGGGCAGGATGGCTTGCCGAGAAAACATCCTCAAAAAAAATATTTTTGGGCTGATCTCTGTACTCACCTCGCTTGGAAGTCCTGGCTGTGCGCTCGTACACGGATCCCTTGGCCGCCTCACAAATAAACGGGAACTGGAGCCACGTGGCGGTTGACTTGAATTCCTTAAAGAGGTTAGAAAAGGAGATGCGGACGACTTGATTGTCCTGTAAATAAAGGCAAACAAACAACCTGCTCAGGAGGAATTGTTGTCTCGCTAGAACAGCAGCAAATTTTCTATGCTTCAGGAACAATTATGTATCTATAACAAACACGTTCTCTACAAGCCAGACCAAAATCTTGAGCGAAGCTGCATTTTCTATAGACCACACAAGAAAATGGCATATTTTCTCTTATCAAGCAACATTGATTTTGGATAACAGTAGTTACAACTTTCTACAGTGTATTTTGTAAACGGGGGAATATATGGATATTCCGTAAATTCACCTATCCATCAGCCGCATACGAGAGTATGATTCCCCCACGGGGCCTCCTGGACAGGGGCTGGACTGCTCTGCTGTTCTCAGAGGATGATGACAATAAGGAAACCAAACTCTCCACCAGGGATGGTAGCAATAGGTAGTGACTACACCCTACAAGCTTCCAGATAAGGCAGGATCTGAACTCAGGGGCCTAACACACAAATATCCCTGCACCACCTCAAACAGCCCCACGCCATCCTATTGTTTTACGTTACTAACCACATCCCTGGTCATCCGTAACAGGAAGAGGAATCCTGACCTACCTCTGTGACAACATCCAGGTGCACCACAAAATATTTCGCCGGTGCAGGTTTGAAAAGGAGGTAGAGGTAGCGTCCAGTGAGACCCAGCGACTGCGTGCTCGTCTTCGGGAGCTGGAGGTAGTTGCTCGCCGGAACGGCGCCGCTGATGCGATACACCGTCCCTTTCAGAGTCTTGTCCTGGACCGAGGACATAAAACAGGAATGAAAGCCAGGCCTTTGCAGAGAAAACGGGATCAAAGTTTCATAAATCAATCCATCAACCTTTTTACCGTACGATCACAGATTTCGGCAAAACGAAAAAAAATAAGGGAGATGATGCTGCGGCTTTCTTAGCAGCCAAGAAGACACACATCAGAAACTCCTGTTGTCGTCCTCTCTTTTCATTTCCCCCACTCACACAGAAGAAAAAAACCCATATACAACCAAGATAGGATAACCTTGGGCCACCAGCAAGCTGATTTTTATGTTTTTATTTAGAATATTCTACCCCACCGTTCTCCAAACAAAGGATACAAGGCGGATTTCGTTATTAAAACACAATAGTAAAGCTTAAAACAGTGAATTGTTGTTGTTGTTGTTGTTGTTGTTGTTGTTGTTGTTATCCTCATCAATGACCAGGACGATAAGAATACATTATTTAAATAAAATCACATATCAGAGACATTGGACAAGACATGACACCATCAATACACCGTCTGGCTCTTTTCCCACATTCACATATCAGAGACATTGGACAAGACATGGCTCTTTTCCAACATTTACTCAAATATTAAATGACTTAATAACATCATATTAAGGATGTTAGGGAAAGCGTTACTAAAACAGATGTAGAAAAAGCAAAATGCAACCCATCTCGTTTCAAAAACTCTCCTAGGCAGTCTGTAGCTATCCATACCTACATTTGTTGCGCTATTTGTGGTTTTTTAATTGCTTATTTAATATACGATTAATAATAATAATAGTTTATTACACTCAGCCACCAGGAAGATTAATGGACAATTACTGTATTCTATGTTCTAGTCTCTGAAAACTGCCTAGAATAGTACATGACACTAATGGAGCTGTATATAAAATATAGTAAGTAAATAAATATATATTTTCTTCAAGTGAGTGCCTAACAAACATCAGGAGCTTTCGATATTACCATAACGGTGGTCACGTCACCTTCCCTGGTGGATCTTTTCCATTCCTCCACTTTAAAGTGTTTAAAGACATTCAGATATGGGTGTTGCCACACTGTACAGAAAAAAGAGAGAGAGAAAAAAATTATTTATTTATTTATTTAATTTGTTTGTTTGTTTGTTTGTTTGATTTATAACCCTTGAGTTATGGCCAAAATAAGCCCAGTTATTCAAATTACTTGCTTTTGCTTCACATCTGACACAGATTCCCTGGATGAAAAAAAAAGGACCCTGAAGTTGCATTTAAAAGAACGGCAAAACACCCCCTTTTTAGGGCATTTTTCCCCCTTTCATTTCCCCCCCACACTTTTTCATCCAGGCCGTTAGCACAAATTCTTCATTAAAAGTGGAAAGGGAAAAAGAGAGGGGGGGTGAACTGGGGTGTGTGTATCTGTGGTTAAGGCCCCTGGGCCCCAAATAATCCTGGGGCACCTTCAGGAGGCAAGGTTTTCCTTTCCAGAGATGGGAGCGGAAGCTGCACCTGTTGAACTCCTGCCTCTTTCACCACCTTAAAAAGAAATACGTAATTAAAAAGCCCACCATTTCCAAGAAGGATCCCTTGGCACTGAAAACCATCCCATAAGGCAGCAAAGTTACTTTTCCATCAGGACCCTTTCCAGCCTAGACCATTCTCCAGCACACTTCCTGATGGTGCCACAGGCAGGAGTCCAACCGGTGCAGCTCCTGGCACACACACACACCTCCATCCTACCTCCCCAAAGAAACCTCACTGCCTCAGCCTGGCAGGCTGTTTCCAACCCCCAATGACTCCCCCAAAGGCGTGCAGGAGGGAGAGGGCAGGCAGCAATCCAACTGGTGAAGCCTAGATCAGATTTTTTTTTAAAGGAGGCTGCACCTGACGGATTTCTGCCCTTTCGTGCAAGGAACACGGGATCCCT